TAGATAAGGAAAACGACTGTTTATATCCCTTCACCGGAGGACAACGGTTAACGCTAATAAAAAAATCCAACATTCAACCGGTATTTCTAAGTAATTTGTTCAATAGTGAACAAGTATGATCGGATGATAAATCACGTCTTAACGGTCTACCATGCTTGGCACGTACTCGATTTTATTCCATTTCAAATTGCAAAAATTACATATAAAGTATAGTTAAATTGCTGATTTTTTTAATGTTTTATTTCCTCATGTAGATTGATTTGATGAGTAACGAGTAGGTACGTTCCGAATGTGGCAGTTGTACATGTAAGTTTGCTAAAAGCAACGTCACTTGACCTAACCTAAAACGGGGTATTATATGAAGAGTTAATGACACACTAAGACAGTGGTTTCCAAACGGTGGGGCGCGCCATACAGAAGGGCGTAAACAATTTATTTAGGGGGCTTGAAGCTAATTAAAAATATTTGATCTTACTCGCCTTATTTTGGATATTTACGTTCCATTCACATATTTTCAATGTGTTTTTTGAATAAAAAATACTTTCGCCTTACAATCTGTTATTTGTAGCTTATTTTAGCCCCACCTAAAATGGGCATCAGGCTTGACAATTTGCGAACCACTGCAATAAGATATGTATATTGTAGAGAAAGAGATTTTATTTGTGAGTTTGAAGGAAGAGAAGATATGAGTTCTCAATTTGAAGTAGAAAGAGTAGAAATGTTGAAAAGATACCGATGATGATTAAAGAGCCATATGTTGATAAGTTCACTAAAATAAATAGCTACTCAGGTGAGGAGCTGCTATTATTTAGAGCAGTTTTTCCCAAGCTAAAGGTCGTGGCCTAAAACTGGGTCGCCTGCAGCTTGTTTTCTCAACAAAAACCTAAAATATTTAATTCAAGAGTCTTGCTGCACACTAACACAAATATATTTCTGTAACGTTTCGTCTAACCGAGGTCAGACTTCCGCAGATAAAACGTCAGACGTCAGACAAAACGTTACAGAAATATATTTGTGTTAGTGTGCAGCAAGACTCTTGAATCAAATAGAATAGTCATTTTCACTCTTGCTATGGCATCTTTGTGTTATACGCATACGGATCCACCTGCGCAAAGGCATCGAGCTAGGAAAGGTAGTTAGTTTCACGTAACCCCAACTGTTAAAAGCCTAAAAATTACTAATTTTATTTTCTAGTAATTTTTACTGTTTATTTGGTATTGAAGTGTTGCTCAATAGTAATTGTATGTGGGAGAAGTATCACGGCGTAAAAACTTGGCAGAACTCATTTTGCTTTAGTCACGCGACGATTTCAACATCTCGTTGATGGCATACACGCGCAGTTTTCTTACCTTAAAGTAATTTATTGGGAAACAAATGTAATGTAAAATTGATGATTTTATAATATTCATTTAATTTTAGTCCTAGAAGTACTACACGCCTAGTATTTGAGCATATCCTCGAGTTGCAAGATTTTACAAAATCAATTTTTTTATAAATTTGTGGCGCAGGAAAAAAAAGGTTGAGAACCACTTATCTACGCAACTCTAACTTCTTTACAACGTTTTTGAAGCATGGTGATGTCATACTATGTGTATTACGAATTTCTCCCAAAACGTTTATTTTCATTGTTTTACCTTTTTCACGTTAAAAAAACATGACAAAAAACGATCAAATATTGACGTCATCTCTTACGTCATTCACGTCTCAGAACGTAAATTTATTTATCTAAATTAGCATGTTGTTTATAGGTAGATTGATTTGAACAAAACGATACGTATGAATTAGTGCAGAGAAAGTCACAAAGTTTTAGCAAACCTGACTCAGCCTAGCCTTGTGGTTAGGGCAGGGTGACGTAAAAAGTTACATATTATAAACAATATTTACAGTGTTACAAACGCAAAATTGGGAAACAATAAGCCTCGTGTCAGAACTAAATTTAATTGCATTCTCATCAAATTCCCTGAGTTATTTTTTAGCTATGGATTATACAGGAAAGTGCCCTACATTTTTTTACATTTAAAAAAAAAGGGGGGGGGGGGGGGCGGGGTTCCGAAATGCCCATCCCTAAATCTTATACCCCATCTCGACACGTTGCGACAACGAAGAGTATTTAAAGTTTAATTTATCTATCTAATGTTACTTCCGGTTTCATTTCCGGCATTATGTCAATTCGGGGTCAACTCTGTTCCCTCGGCGATCGAACTTCATTCATAAGACATCTAAGCCACCTCACACCTGGACCGGTGCAGGAAACAAACAGTGTCGTATAATAAGTAATGTGTGATGAATCAGGGAAGGTAGAGGAAATGCGGGTTTTCTTAAAGCGAGGTTGAGAATAAAAATGGAAAGATTACTGGTAGGCAGCGATCGGCAACCTGTTCCGGGTCGCATGCGGCGCGCTGTTCTCGGAGCTCTTGCTACAGAAGCAGTGGGGATTCAATGAAAGTCGTGGGCATAAAGTCGGTTACTAGTCACAAATTACACCTCACAGCAGGTATAAGACGAGAGCGGTGAAAGTAGACCGCATTAAGGTGATTCAAATATGTCAAAACAAACTTTTCTTTTCATTTTTCAAGTTGTTTTCATTTTTCGTAAACTGATTTATTGCATCAGTCGTAATTTATTTCGATTTTTTTTAATAAGAACCAAATTATTGCATCATAAGTGGTTTTCCGAAGAGTTTCAATAGCCACTAACATTAAAGTGGATGTTGCGGCTCCAAATAGTTTTGAGTTTGATTGAAAGGATGCTAAACGGCTCTTCCATGTGCCGACCAATATTCAGGCAACTGCTGGCGCGCAATATACAGGCTATCTCAAAGCAACGTTCTGTGCCTTGACTTAATGTGGAAAGTGAACTAATGGAAGAAATATATATGTCAGTTAGGACTGGATATTTCGAATCGAATAGTAAATTATTCGAATTGGCTCAGATGGGAATTTCGAATCGCAGTCATCTTGTTTTTTATTTAGCCGTTGGAGGTCGGGTGGTTTCCCCTTTTTTCCCATTGCAACCATATTTTAAATGCGATTCTGACATATGACTCTTTTTTCTAGTGAGTTATTGACATAACATGTTTCTTACCATATTTTAAATGCGATTCTGACATATGACTCTTTTTTCTATTGAGTTATCGATAGAACATGTTTCTTACCGTGTGTGAACGCCTAGCACTCTGAGTGAGTGATGGATTTCGTTTTATTTGACGAGCGACATGACACAAGACAATTCAAGGCAAGATTAGTGCACGCGTTTATGTAAATCATGATGAAAAAATGTGATCATGAAAAGGGAATGTCGCGCCGTTAGGGAACCGGATTATTATTTTGAAATATGTGCAGAGTGCAGACGTGTAAGGGCCAGATTGCGTATGTGTAATATGTGAAGATGCTTCTAGATACAATTACGACCCGCGCAACGATTTGATACGGCCCGCCGAATTTAAGTGAAGTAGTTTAATGCTTCTGTGTATCTATTTATGAGGCTATAAAACGTTAAGCCTCAATTAAAAAGCAATGCAATTCTATTATTAAGAACGAAATGTGCATATGGATCGGTTTGTTATTGTCGTGATTCGTGAGGTTTTCAGAAAGTAATCGCTTTTTATCGGAAACCAATAGACGAAACGAAATTCCAAAAATTTTAACAGCTGAATTCCCGCTTCAGAATTAGCAATTTTTAATCAGTTACTCACAGATAAGCTCATGATCAACCCGGCAAGAGAAACGACCAATACGATATTTATCAATCTATCAATTAATGTCAGAGTGATGAATTAGTCAAATTGCAATGAGAGTTATGCATTAATCGAACAGAGCTCCAGAAGTGTATGTACCAATATGGAAGTGACTAATTTTGTTCGCCTATTTTACATCAAGTTGTGTAAAGGCACTGAAACCTATGGAAAGGGGGAATATTCACTTGGTTAACACAGACAGTCCCCGAACTACTACGGCAGTCACTTGACTAGTCCCCGAACTTGTAATAGAACTAAAATAAGGAAAATCGGAATAAAATTATGGCCTAACCCTAACCTGGTACACACACTACGGGTGTACCCAATCAAACAGCAATTGAGTGACTAACGCTTTATTATTATAATTAGACACTAAGTGGATCTATGGATAGAAGTTTCAAGCTGAATAAATTATTCGAATGGGCTCAGACTATAATTTCAAAACGCCGCCATCTTGTTTTTTCGAAGGTCGGTATGAATTCCTCAGTTTTATTTGAACCATATTTTTATAGTGGAATTCTAACATATGAGTCTTTTCTCCCTAGTGAGTTATTGATGGAACATGTTTATTATTAGGTGTGACCACTCAGCGAACTGTCTGAGTGATGGATGTTTTCTTTACTTTAAGTGTCTGGAATACCCATTATAATCAAAAATCACATATGATTACGTCGTTGCGTCGATTTAAATACCTCCATCGAATATAGAAAAAAATATTCGATTCGATTCTGAAATCATCAGGAATTCGAATATGCTATGTCATATTTTTACCATTATTACGTTATGTTATGCTCAATGACTTCATCATTTGTGTATTGTGACGTAATATATTTATGACGTCACTATTTGTAGTTAATTATGTAATTGAAGCCTATAGATCACTCGTATGTAAGCTGTCAGTATTTTGCAAAAATCGAAATCTTATGGTTCCGCACCGCCTACCAAATTTATTGCATCCTTAGTGAGGTGGGAGTTAGACCGATTAATTTTTCTTCCATAGGGAACCCGTGGCCACCCAAAGGAGCCACAGAACAATCCGATAAGGGCCACAATGCTTAGCGCAGAACTGATTTCTTTTTTCAAGAATATTCCCCGCTTCTCCTGGTTTTATTGTTTGATAAGGTTATTTCACTGGGTGTTTTCACTTTGTTGAGCATGGATTGTCTGAACATAATGGCATTTGGAATCAACCAATCAAAATATATGACACTATAAATACCGAAAACACTGATTTAACCTCATAAAATTGATTTCAGATGATTAACATATAAGGATAAATAACTAAGATAATGCATTAAAAGGCAATAAATAAATATTTGGCGTGGAGTCAAAGGTCGCTAAACCCCTACAAGAATGGCTTTAGGGCCAGGAATCATTGCTGGGATTGTCATAGCAGCCATTATTGCGACACTATTGGTTGCTGTGATTCTTTATTACCTCATGAAGAAATCGAAAGAGGATGAAGATGACAGTTGTACAAAGCTTATGCAGAAATATGGAACGACAAAGCATAAAGCTGGACAAAGGTTGGTGAATATTGGCTGATTTTTCACTGTTTTTCTAGCTATTTTATACTTGGGTTTTCGAGATCATGATCTAACTGAAAAAATTACTTTATTATTAATGATATGGCATTATCTATTAGGACATATATATAGATAATGTCATATTTTAATTGCCGCTTTAATATCACTGTTTGCTGCGTCCGAATATATGCCTGTCCATAAATAAATGACAAATAACCGTTATTAGAATTATAATTCAGAGTTGAAGGAAATGAATACGCGCGTATCTAATGCTTGCTTTTGTTCGCGGCCTTATAGTTTTGCAGAACTGTCGTTTCTACTTAATATCACATTTTGACGTTACCGTTGCCCATAGTTCAGAATTAAATAATTCAATGGTAGTTTTGTCCTCCCGGGAGCGTTATTTTGAAAGCCTACCTGGCGCGATAATATCTCTCTCTATATATGTAAGTTTACCCAAATTTATTCAAGAGCCTTGATGCACACTACTAACGGATATACAGGGTGGTCGCTAGAAAACCAGGGAATTTGTCACTCATAGATATCGCTCCAATACAACCTATACCCACACGCATTTATTCGTGATCTCATCAGGTCCTCAAATTTTTAGCTTTTCTAGCGTCCAGCCCGTATAATTCTATATTTCTGTAACGTTTCGTCTGACCAAAGTCGGACTTTCTCAAACAATATTGGTATTAGTGTGCAGCAAGACTCTTTGAATCAAAAATTGTAGTTATTTTCACTCTTGCTACAGCATCTTTGCATTATATGCATACGAATCCATAGCGCAAAAGCGAAGAAGAAGGATAAGTAGTTAGTCTCGAAACCAAATTGCAGTAATTTCTCTCTTTCACAGATTTCCTCTTCTTTTTTTGCCTGTTCGTGGCGTCTTTACAAAAATTGAATTCAACTCACAACTGACTAACGTTAATCTAAGTTTGAGCTGTTACAGAAGCAGCTGGGCGAATATAAATTCCACAGAGCAAAGGTTCTTGGAAAAAGTGGGCCAGATGAAACACTCCGGCGGGTCGGATCAGGCCCGCGGGCCGTAATTTCCCCACCCCACTGGGAAGAAATCCAATTTTTCCGATTATGACTGGTGTTACCAGGATTCGAACCCAAGTCTTTTACAAACTTGAGACATTGTTTCTCATTCATCTTTAGGTCCGAGATGGTCGCCAACTACCCAGAAGTGACCGCAACATTCACAAAATCACATGTCGCCGGTCAACAATTTACCGCGAGAGAACTGCAAGGAACCGACGACACGGGATTTGTTATTCCCATGAAAGAAGGTAATTGGTTTTCAAACTTCATTATGTTTTAATTTGAAGGATTTTAAAATTGGAGTGATAATAAACGTCAAATTTTAGATATACCAAGGGTTTTTAACAGTCTTCGCCTATATTGAAGTTTTTTTTTGTATCAAAATATAATTTAATTTCTCGGAAAATTTTGATTTGAGGTCGATGAGGTCTTGGAACAGTATTTATTGAAGCGGTAGCTCTTCTTCATAAAACTTCGAAATTGCCGCGGCACGTTCAGTTTAAAAAAATATTATTATTTATAACCGCGCGAACAAAACTTCATATGCAAAATAAATAAAAGTTATTTGTTAATCATCAGTAGAATTTATTACACATTTGGTATCTGAAGCCCTGAACGCCGACTCAAGAGCCAAGCCGAATCACGGGTTAAGTCAAGCACCCAGTTTAGTCTCTTTGGCGGTTAGCTGTTACGCGTCCGAGTCATACCAATTAGGTGACTTGAACCAATGACTGTTTGGCAAATGGTAGCTCGAGTACAACCAGTGTCGAGTAATCACGCTACGCAATATGTAAAGACCGAAATAAAATAGGAATTTGTAGGCGCAAGTGGTTAGAGACATTGTGCCCGGTGTAGAGCTAAGATCTGAAGCCCGACCCGACCCGAATTTCGGGCCTGAAATGTTAATCATTACATTCGGATCGGATCGGGCTTCTCTATCACTGACTTTTTTGAAATAAATATAGGTTTATAAAAAATATGTACTGAAACTATATGTGTAATTCAGAGAACTCCTAAATAAAATATGAAATTTCGGGTTGGCTTCGGGCTCGGACCTGCAAATCCAGTTAATTAGTCTGGCTCGGGTCGGGTCGGGTTTAACACCAACGGGCCCGGGTCGAGACGGGCTGAATTTTTGGGCCCGGTCTTTTCTCTAGCCCAGTGACGCCGTACCGACCACCCGGGTTTGATTAAAAATGTTCGTCTTATGCTTCATCTCGCAAGTTGCCATTTCCTCAATGAAGCGAAACTCTGTAGAACCCACTCGACGCAAACTCAAATCATGTCTGGATTTTTCTTCGGAAACTCAATAACAATTATCACGATCTGCGGCTTCCTATGTTTGAATTTAGGAAATCCGAACTCTCGTATTACATTACACATTACGACTGAGATGCAGACGAGCAATTGATTGAATGAACTCGGTTTCAGAGGCGTAACCTCTATGATTTTGGGAGTTCAATATCCTAGAACAGGGGATATGCAACATTTTTGTCGGTGGGTCATATAACCGACTTCAGACATCTTGTCGAGCAACACAAAAAATTCAGGTACTCCCGCATTGTGTGTACCAGGTTAACCCTGGGGCATAATTTTATTCCGATTTTCTTTATTTTAGTTCTATTACGAGTTCGGGGGCTGTCCGTGTTAGCCAAGTGAATATATCCCCTGCCCATAGACTTCAGTCCCTTTACGCAACTTGATGTAAAATAGGCGAACAAAATTAGTTACCGCCACATTGGTCACACACTGATAGAGCGCCCCCATTTCAAAGGCGTAACCCTTGTGATTTTGAATTTAATATCCTAGACCAGTGCTCCCCAACCTATGGAAATTTGTTGAGATCGCCTTTTTCAACAAAAACCTAAAAGTTACTGCTTCTTTATTGTTTATTTTATTTTAAATTAGTATTGGAGTGTTGCTCAATAGTAATCGTATGTGTTGGAAATATCACATCGCAGAAACTTAGCATCGGCTGTTATTAGTCAGTCACCCTTTAAGCATCAAATACCGCCTAGTATTTGAGCATATCCTTGGGTCGCAAGATTTTACAAAATTTATTTTGTTAAAATTTAGGTCGCTTGAAAAAAAGGTTGGCCGAATCCGGCCCGCGGAGTAACATAATCCGGCCAGCAACGCTTCACTGAATTATAGTAACAAAACAGCTGTTGTGACGATTATATTTTTCACGTTGCAAAATTCATTGTGAGACGCGTGCAACCTAAATTAATTTATAATCTAGCAAGTATAAAATGCACATTTACTCGTTTAATGATCCTATAATTAGATGATAATTTGACAAATGGCAACAAAACGCGGAAAAGTTGATGCTAAGTGCGAAGGGTTCAATGGCGCCGAAAATATTCAAATGTAATCTTTTGATATGCAATGCAATGAGGAAATAAATCTATATTCTATTCGAGAGTTGTATCCCTTCTTCATTTTTATTATAAAAAGTATCATCCGTTCGGTTTTTCAACTTTTTAAAAATATGTGCGGCCCGCCAATGACTTGCAACCCTTATTTTGGCCCGCGAGCGACAAAAGGTTGCCGACCCCTGATTTAGTGGGAAAGGCAAGAGAAGAGAATGCGCCTTACCTTTAGCCTTACAGTAATGAATGCACCGGGCAAAACGGCGAAAGAATTAACACAGAGACAAGATTGGAGAACATTGCGCCAGTAGTTTGCGCGTTGGATACGAGAAATGCTCAATGAACACTAAGACCATATGACTAATATAGCCACTGCAACATCTGCGAATTTGAGGCGAATGTTAAATGAATTGTAAAGAATGTAATAATAGAATCACTTTTGAATATATTCCGAAAGATTAACTTCTTAGCAGGATGCGCTTTCATAAACAATTCTTCGCAGTTGAAATACCGTGTGGTTATCACGGTAACACTTCTTAGTTAAAACATCGCTTGCATAAGCAATTTTCCGCAGTCAGAATTAAAGTCACAATGCGAATATCACGTTAGCACTCATTCCTTTCTGCATCCGTCCGTAATTGTCTTTACTAACATGCTTCCATATAGTCTTTGTCGAAGTGAATGCGGAAGATTCATACATATAGTTGATTCATGTCGCATATTCATGCTTCCACCCTGAACGAAACACCGAAACATATTTTTGTATAATCGGGAATTTTTACTTTGTATTTGCGTTTGGTATTACTCACTTATGTGCTTTGATTGTATATTGATACTATAAAACAGATGTTCCCAATCGGGGGTTCGTGAACCCCAATAAACCGGTGTGTTTCATCCGGCTCACTCGTGTTTTCTGAAATTACGACTATAGTTTTATGGATATAAATTCACTTAAAAAATATCGATGAAAATAACGTCATAATAACCCCGATTGTGCCTTTGTGCTTCTTATTATTACGTAAACGTTAGCCCAGCTGTTGGACTACCATTTTTCATATTGAGTTTTGAGGCTCCGGCCCAGTAACAAAGTCTAATATCTGTAACCGACCCACTCAAAACAGTAATTGCCCTTTTCTGAACTAGAGAATATATGGAAGATTATGAATTTACTGAATTTCATTTTCTTTTCTCACAGGCGACCCTACTTTGCAGCATTCAATGTACAGGCCGATTGATCCGGGAAACATTGATCCCAGATTGTACGCAGTCGGTGGATCGGAAATAGAGGTAAAGTGAAATAACGCGGGAAAGTGAAGACTCTTTTTTGCTTAAGTCTAGCTTTTAGGCTTACCGTGTTATATATTTAAATACCATCAAAGTATGCTATTTTTAAGGTACTCCTGTAGTATGCGAACCAAGATGGCGGACACCATAACGTAGTATGTGTACCAGGTTCGGGTCAGGCCACAATTCGATTCCATTTTTCCTCATTTTAGTTCTATTACAAGTTCGGGGACTAGCCAAGTGACTCCCGTAGTATTTGTACCTGAAAATATAGCCTAACCCTAACCTGATACGCATACTACGTTCCGGTGTCCGCCATCTTGGTTCGCATACATCGGGAGTACCATTTTTAATGGGGGGAGAACATCAGAATATGAACTATTCATACTTTTGTTAAAGTCACTGAATTTTATAATGAAGATTTAATATATATTATAATAACTGAAGATATGACGTCAACATAATGATGTCATAATTTAAAACACGACGTCGAGTAGGTCAGGTGGTGTAACACTCGCCCGCGCCATCAAAAAAATATAAAATATTGACAATTATTCAGTTATGGTTAGGGTAAGGAGTACACGGGGAACTGCAGACTTTTTCTTGCTTAAGCCATGTGATCAGTAGTTTATTTTTCACCATATTTAAAAATACACGTTGTACATATAAAACAACAATTTACATGATGTAGCAATCTTGAAACCCTCCATTTGTCACGCGACTATTACCATCTTCAGATCGCTCGACAGTGGTACCACTTTGGCCACATTAGGTAGCGCTAGTTCAATTTCACCACAAGGGTATATTGCTATAATCCGTTATACCATGTTTCCCCCAAAATAAGACTTAGTCTGAATGTTAAAAATGATTATAATATAACCCCCTCAAAATAAAACCTAGTCGATAGCAAGAAATCTTTCCTACACGTTTTAAATGAATAATAATCTATGCTTTGCAGTTGTTTTAAATAAAAACGTGTTATTCGTGAGTAAATGGATCTCGAAAATCACGTAATTCTCTACTTTATAATTTTGCTTTTGATAAATGAAAATATACGAAATTCCTTCAAGATAATAAGCCCTAGTGTTTATTTTCGAAAAAAAAAATGTAATAAGACCCAGTTTTCAGGAAAACACGGTCCTAATACTTATTTAACAATTTCATCTCTTACAGGGCTCCCAAACAAAGATGGGGAAGAGACCAGCGCAAGTAATTTTCACTGTCGAATACGATTCGAAATTCTCTATTTTAAAGATCTGTATACTTGAAGCAAGGCATCTACGGCCAAGCTCAAGCTCGGGTAAGTCAAGTATTTTGTTGGGCTTAGTCGGTAACAGTGGTTCCCAAACTGAGGGTAATTGCCCTCAAAGGGAATTTTGGCAGTTTTTAGTGGGTAATTCCTACGTTCACGGGTTCAGCAATTTTCGTAGTTTCGACTAGCTGGACATGCAATGCACGCAATTAGACACGCACTTCGTAGGGACGTAATAACGAGAATATCGGTCGGAGACCGAATACTTATCGATCGAAACTGCGGTTTCGATTCATGACTTTATAGTGACACCGCGTGTCCCATAACTAATTAATTAATAACTCGCTAATTACACGACATAATTCATCCACAATCAATAGGCTTCTGGTCCGAGATACGATGAACACACATGCATTTGGAGCAGATTCAACCACGCCTTCGTGAGATATCGCGTGCATCTAACAGACAAACAGACAAATACCTCAACATACTTACCGATCTAAAGATCGATAAGTAACAATACTTTGCCGTACAGATTGTATGCTTAAATGCTGAGCTGGCGTTAGTTCAGCATCTTAAAGTCTGATCGGCAATAGGTGTTGGTACTATCGCCATTTTTAGTCAAAGAAAAAATGATAACGATAGGATAGGTCTTTAGCTATGTCCTTTCATATCATTAGATATCAACGGCTTTTTGTACAGGAACTTGTCCTGAGCAAAAGACGTGATTGAACGTCGTATGCAAAAAAGTAGTTACAGGGAGTCCTCGGGTTACGACGGGCTCAACTTACGCTGTTTCGAGGTTACGAACGCACTCAATAAAAAGATAATACTGTACCGTAATATCTAAGCCCTTAAACTGGATCATTGTGATCAAGAAAATCAGTGCTTTGGGCCCATTGGTTTTCGTCTTTTACATCGCAAATGACGTAGACAAATGCGAACTATTACGGTTATGAACGAATAATCACTAAGCTTCAGTCACATGGTACACAGTTTCAGTGATACTGTACGCCATTTTGGTTGTTTCGACTTACACTGAAATTTGGGTTACACCGCGTCGCAAGAACGGAACAACGTTGTAAGTCGAGAACTCCCTGTATTGTCTATTGCACATTGTGCATTCGAGGAATTATGTGCATTCTGCTTACTCACACGATTACATGTCAAACATTAAAGTGACAGACCGAAAAATAACGTAGAACTTAGAAATATTGCCAAAAAATAGTCATGGCGCATCGCTGCGCGGGAATAAATTTAAACTAGAATATGTTGTTTCATTGTGACGTATTGTAATCATCACAAACGGCGAACACGGATTTTGTTTGGTAATAATAATTTACTAATTATTCGAGATTTGGAGACAAGTTGCATGAAAGCAAAACTTGGTGATGCTGAAGTGCGTGCTAAAAAAACGAGATTCGCAGTTCTACATATTTCTGAGTTTGAATAAAGTCCATGCAGGTTCGCAGGTTCGAATCCCGTGGGAGATAGGGACCTCCTGAAGTATGCGCACCAAGATGGCACACAACCTGTACTTAGGTTGTGTACCAGGTTAGTGTTCAGGTTATGCGACATCTTGGTGAGCTTACTTCAGAAGTACCAGGGATAGTTATATGCGAGAGGAGTGCTGGATTCCACGCCGCCGTGGGGTGGTTAACGTAATCGCTGGTGGGATACGGCTTCCTCCACCGCCAAGTCCATGCATCTGAAATCGAAATACTGGCTAACTAATCCCATGCCCGACACGGGCTTGTGACCGAACAAGATGACATGGTTTGCCATATGGTTAGGCCGTCTTATCGGCTTTCCCTTCCCCCGGGATAAATATGTAAATCCTAAAACAACGCTGAATGCAAAATACCACTTTCTTGAAGAACTTACTCAAAGCCAAGTTGCGAGTAAGAGTGTCATTTACAGACGCATTACTTGAAAAATAGGACTTCTCTCAGTGAAAAGTAAGTGACAATTAAGTCGGTGCGAGTGCTATTCCAGAGCGCTGTTGACAGTGGCGTACCTAGGGTATGGTAGCCATGGCTTGTAAAATGTTACAATAAAATAATTTTAAATTAGAAATGATAGGAACTCGTATGTTCACTTAAATACTAAAGTTCAGATTCTCTTTTGGTCGAAAAGTTGAAGAAGTTTTTCCATACCAGGGACCGCACCTCATAGTAATACCTTGAGGCATATCCCACGCTACAGGTGATAGCTTGAGGTAGATCTAACGCTATATTGTGGCAGGCCTCGCGGTATACCACTCCCAATATCTTCCTGTTCAACGGCGCCAGTGTATACAGTTAGAAACAACGAACGATAAACTACGATCGCATGCTACGATGTTGTTTTCGTGTCAACCGCATCTCGAATGCCCGACAACCAATCAAAGTGTGAAGTGTGTTCTGAGTGAGTTCCCGCAACTTTGCTCAGAGATGAGTCACCTTTAATTTTGAGTGAGTGCTCGTAACTTTGCTCTGAGATGAGTCTCCTTTAATTTTGAGTGAGTGCCCGTAACTTTGCCCAGAGATGAGTCTCCTTTACTTCTGAATGAGTGACATAACTTTGCTCAGAGATGAGTTTCTTTTACTTTTGAGTGAGTGATCATCACTTTGCTCAAAGATAAGTTTTTTTATTATTCCTTTCTGACTAAGCGCGCATGACATTGCTTTGAGTAACGCCAAGTCCCAAATGGCGTCTTTGTTCGGCATGCCGCCATCGGTTGCGACTTATTGTTCAGCGCAGTAATCAAATTTTGATTTCCTTTTTCAATAAAAGAATGGAATTTTACAATCGCTCGCGATGACACCATAGCTGTAAAAGTGATTCGTTTGAGCAAGGCTGTGAAGACGGTAAATAAAACCGACTCTTAAAAAACTTAGTAAACCCATTGCATTTTAGTTTCTGTAAAAATATGGGCGCTCCGGAAAGATTTGTGCCAAGATGACGCACAACCTGAACAACTCTAACCTGGTACATATACTATGTTCAGGTTGTGCGTCATCCTGGTACGAATACTTCGGGAACACCAAAATATGGATTTCAGTTATTATCACACTGGAAAGTCTGAAAGTACGTCTCCGAAAAGTTCCAAACTATGACTATTGTCCTAATTTACTTAAGATAAACAGCAGCAGAAGGAAAACGGACATAATCTAAATCAGAGGTGTGCAACCTTCAAAACAGGAGGGCCAGGGCCATAAATAACTGGGTGAAACCGCGGGCCGCACCTTAATTTAACATCGGGTTTCTAGTAGTTAAAAAAATTGTGGATTTTGATCCCATGACATGCGTTCTTCCCTGTTAGGAAGTTGTAACGTCATAGGCATAGATGATAAATTGGACACAGGTATAGGGTTTCACAACGCGAATCGGTTAAAATTACTCGCTCGCACCAATTTAAAATAAATTTCATAATTGACACTTCTCCGCGGGCCACACAATTTTCATTGTGGCCCGCGGGCCGCAGGTTGACACCTAGATACAATAGTATCAGAAACGTAATATTTCTTCTCTTATACTTCCAGGGACAAGTGACCCATATTGCACGGTAGCTGTAAAGCCAGGCCACGCCGCTAAGAAAAGTCAAGTGTTTAAGAACACATCCGATCCGATCTTCAATGAAAATTTCAGTTTTGAAGTTCAGAAGAACGAACTGAATGATAAAACTATAGAGGTGAGATAGTATGACGTCATTAGTAGTGGCGCCATGAAAGATGTGGAATATGACAAAACATAAATTGCACTATCAATAGAATTAAACTACAGGGGTGTGAGATTATGACGTCATGATAGGTACTTATAATTTGTTAAAATATAGCGGTGAGAGACTATGACGTCATTGGCAGTGACGTCATGGCAGGTTCATATGTGCCAAATTAAAAAGAAAGATATGGATCTCACTCTTAATAGATTGAACTACATAAGTACGAATTTGTGACGTCATCAATGGTGACGCCATGTTATATTCGTGAGCACATGGCGAAAAGCATAAATCCCACTCAGAATAGAAATAAACTTCAGAATTGAGAGACGATGACGTCAATTTAGTAACGTCACGAAATGAAACCACTACATTAGGGAGAGGAGACTTTTTAACAAAAAGTTAATCTTACTATTTCAGTTGAATTTCTTCGATTTCGATCAGTATTCACGGGATGAATTAACCGGGTCTGTGAATCAGAAATTGAGTGAAATTGAATTAAAAGACGAGAAGATCGATCTTTGGAGAAGAATTACGCTCGCCAGACCGGATACCTCGGAGGTAAGTTGGTATTGGGCTTGAATATTTCACTCTAGTCATCGTTTATCGAAAACTTTGTTGGCTATACCAGCGTTACTCATACCTTTTTTTTTGTCCCGAAACACCTACCCTTCTTATCTCGCCTCGCAGAAGACCACAAAATTAGAAGGTAAAATTATTGAATGGTTTCCAAAATATTTAGCCTGTGATAAAGTTAAAAATTTTGCTGTAAACTTGACAATTAAAAAATTAGGTCGACCGTAAATGATATTGAACGGTGGCAAGAGTCGTTCAGATAGCATGGCCTATCCGCCTATTTCAGAGGATGCTCATCTTGATTCGGATGAACATATATAACAAATAGAAAGCCTTTTCTTTCAGACACCCGAAGAATACGGGGACATCCTTCTACGACTGGGGTACTTACCAAGCGCAGAAAAACTAACCGTTGTTCTGCTGAAAGCGAGGAATTTGAAATGTTTTAGCGAAACGGGAGATGTCAAGCAACCTGGTAGGTTCTCTTTTATATTTTTACAAGGTAAGTTTTAAACCAGTGGTTCCCAAACAGGTAGGTCCCTCCCCACAAGGGGGTGTGAACAATTTTTTGAGGAGGCGTGGAGCCAATTAACAATAAAAATATTTGTCAGAATTGAACTTGTCCGTATTTTTTGAATATTTACATGTCTTTATTGTTTAATGATTGCGATTCCATTCACGTATTTTTTGAATAAAACATACGTTTGCCTTACTATCTGTTATTTGTAGCTCTTTGTTACTTGACAAATTTTGAAAAGAAGGCGCAGCAGTTTGAGAACCACTGTTATGAACTGTCAAAGAACTTCGATTACGTGGAACTGGCTACCGCATGACTGTCTCTTTAAAGTTATACAGCCTTGGTACTTTAGTTGTCACCCAGAGATCTCTTTTATTTGGAACTCTTTATTCTTCCTTTATTGTGCATAAAAAAGTAATTTATTAGCTGTTGAATCTTCAGTGGATCCTTAGTGCTAGTGTTTTGCGCAAGTCGCCATTTTAGTTTATTTTAACATACTGTATGGACAGAATGTATTACCAGCAAAATATAACCTACTGATTCTTGGTACACAAGTAATGGAACCTAAAGTAGTTGCCAATTATTATAGTCCTCGGGACGGATAATTCGTCTTCACGACGGACAATTCGTCTTTATAGCTGGTGATTTTTTGACGGGCGGATGATTCGTCTCAACGAGACGAATGTTTCGGCTTGATGAGGTAAAAGATTCGTCTTGACGAGACGGGTGATTAGTTTTTATTGCGGATAATTCGACTTCATAGCTAGGTGATTCTGCTTGGGGGGCCGGATGATTCATCTTGGCCGACCCAACACCCATGCCCTAGTGGCGCAAGCCAGTACTTCTCAAACGCTTAAAAACCTTTTCCTTTTTACAGATCCGTACATAAGAGTCGCCATCCTACATGACGGGCATTTGCTTAAGAAGAAAAAGACTTCGACCAAACGAAAGACGGCAAATCCGACCTATAATCAAGCAATCAATTTTGCGGTTCCGCTAGATGTCCTACCACGCGTAGAAATCCAATTTCATATTGTTAATGATACTGGGTGAGTATTAAGCTTTCATTCTTAATTCGCGGGCAGAGGAAAGACGATAAAGTTGTTTTACCATACGGCAAACCAACTACTCTTGTCCGGTTACCAGCCCATGTCGGTTATGGGATTAGTTGACCAGTCATTTGTTTCAGATGCGCGGTTGCGCATAACCACCAGACTATGTTGACGAGGAGTCAAGCAATCCTTTCGCACCTAATTATTTACAACATGAGATTCGAACCTGCGAACTCGCACAGTGTAATCCGCGTGTTTCCAGTGATTATCAGATGCACCAACATTTATTTCAGCAAAGCTATAACCGAACATGTCTAGCGATTTTCTCGCACATAATTAGCCCCCATTGAATTCCAACCAGCGAACCCCAACATGGTAATCAGCGTGTTGTGTTCTCTATGCTTTGCATGATGAGCCAATTATCATTTATTAGTTTACTAACCATACCCACTCTTTTACAGCGTAAAACTTCAGCGGGGTTCCCGTAAAGAGACGATCGGTTACTTGGAAATCGGGCCCCATTCAACAGGAGACGAATACGACCATTGGGTCGATCTAATGAGTAAGAAACCACAGGCAAGGTGGCATAGGCTACGAGAGGCGACACATGATGTTGACGAACAGCCATCAACTGCGAGTGAGACAGCTACGACTTCAAAATGAACTTTTTAGAGACTTTCAAATTCGAAAGAGTCCGCCCTCCAGAACTTCGCGGGTCGTATTTTGAAGTCAATGGTAATTTAAATTCGAAGATATCCTCTCTTTGGAATTCTCTGGGTTACACTATACATTCAATCTAATTTATATTCGAAGGAGTCCGCCTTCACAAACATTTGCGCATTGACTACATATGAATCAAATCAAATACAAATTCGAAGGAGACCCCACAAAATTTTGCAGGTTGGCCTTTAAAGTCCTCTCGAATCTAAATTCGAGGGAGTCCGCCTTCTGACATATTGCAGATTGAACTTTACAGTCAATATAAAGCAAATTCGAGGGAGTCCGCCCTCCAGGATATTGCAAATTAAACTTTACAGTCAATCAAATTTCAAATTTGACGGAGTTCATCCTTCTAAATATTGTAGGTTGAACTGTACAGTTCATCAAATCTAAATTCGAAGGAGTCCGCCCTTCAAAATTTTGTGTATTGAACTGTACGCTTAATCATAATTACAATTCAAAGTATCCGCTTCTAAATATTTGTGCATTGGACTATACAGACAATCAAATCTCAATTCGATAGAGTCCGCTCCTAAATATTTGTGCATTGCACCATACAGTCAATCATAAATTCAATTTTCAATCCGCAGGAGTCCGCAATCAGGAATTTTGCGGGTTGAACTTTACAGTCAATCGTTCAATTTGAGGAAGTCCGCCTTTGGGATATTTGTGCATTGAAGTATATATTTATCGATCATACCTACTGTAGAAATTTTGGACGATAGTCGAAACATATATAATTCAAATACAAATTCGAATGAGTCCGATCCCCGTGAATTTGCCGGTTAAATATTACAGACAGTCGTAACTTGAATTCGAGGGAGTCCGCCCTAAATATTTGAGCATTCAACTATATATGCATCGAAAACAAATGACGTATAAATTTTGGCCGATAGTCGAAACTTGAATCAAATACTAATTCGAGGGAGTCCGCCCTCCGTGATTTCGCAAGTTAAACTTCACAGCCAGTCAAATTTGAATTCGATGGCGTCCGCCCTCCAGGATATTACAAGTTGAAGTTTACGGTCAATCATAACTTGAATTCGACGGAGTCCGCCTTCCGAATATTTTTGCATTGAACTATATAAGCATCGGCTATATACGAAATGCACAATTTCCCGAAATAGAATCAAGTACGAAGTCCGGCTTTATAAACATTGACCATCTGCAAACATGCCTACTGCCTAGAATCCATTCCTGTGATCTTGAACTATGTGTCACTATTCTGTCAAATTGTCAATGCAGTATGTAAAGTGCAATTCATACCGACCTATTTATTCTCCATTACTGAAAGGAGGGTCCGTCCCCCAACACAGAACACTGGCTACATCCCTGAATCGAAGTATTACATCAAACATAAGTTCGCGGGCCTTTTGCAAGCCCTTGTAAAATATTAGTCCGATGAAGTATGTTCTTCTGTTAATGCAGCAGAAAAAGTACATTTTATGCCGACTTATTTATACGAGTTCGCTAAAAGCTTTTCAAATTAAATCAGCTACAAATTCGAAGAAGTCCGCCCTTGCAAACATTTGAAATATGTACATTAAACTTCTGTTAATGCATACACAATGCAATATTAAAAGTGCAATTTTATTTTTATTATTCTTTTACCATTAAAGAGAATCTCGCTACGGGGCTTACAATTGCCTTGTCCTTTTACATCTGAAGTAAAGCCGTTTGCCCGAAGTCAAACCGAAAAAAATTTCGCTCTAAAAAAACTTTCTACGATTCAATGGCTGTTTATCTAGAGCGGAGGTGTGCAACATTTTTGTCGGTGGGCAATATATATATATAACCAACTTCAGACATCTAGCTGGGCCACACAAAATATTTAGCGGAAAGGCAAAAAAGAGAATGCGGCTATTGCTTAGACTTACAGTAATAATTGCACGGCGCAACGGCAGAAGATTTATCGCAGCGACAAGAACAAAAAAACATGTACTTTTAAAGACGTGAACGACTTTTTGTACATAAACTGTCGAATTCGGATTTTATGTTTGATGGGAAAGAATCTTGAATGTTGAAAAGGGCAACACTAAATGACTTGGTGGGCTGGGTTGTGGGCACACCTCTGATTTAGATCCCTGTTTAGATAGAATGCTCGGAAGCCCTTATAAAAAGTCGCAGAACTATTTATATTTACGGAAATTTTTGTTTTTTGTCATTATTAGGACATCATTTCTGTCTCTGAGTTCCATCGAACCCTCAATTTCGACACGAGGACCTCAAAACTTTTGAAACCTCACATTCTCCGGCCTGAACCGCTAGCTGTTACAGCCTAACTTGGCAATTAGAAATTTCCAGGCTAAGCTCCCTGACTAGATGATTCTGTCGAAAAATGAGTCTTTGGTCATCACCATTGAAAATTCTGACTTTTTAGAATCCAAAATTCCACTCTGGATAGTATAAACAGAGGACAGGGAGTTCCCCCTTCTCCAGGAGAACTTACTAGATGTTACCGTCTAACTTGGCGACTAGAAATTTCAGAACACCCACCTCCCCCCCCCCCATTTGAAATTCATGGCTAAGCCCTAGTCGACGGCTCCGACTTCAAACATCACCAAACCCTGACCTCATTGCCCTGATACAACGCGTCCATTTCACTTTGTATGATTTGAGCGAATCGCTTAAAATATTTTCTACTTGCAAATCACAATTCTTATTCAATTTCAGGAAATAATAAAATGCTATAAAACCATTTGTTGAGTGTTTTTAAAAAAAATTTTACCAATCCAAGACGACTTGGTTACGTTTGGCTTTTGGGTTAACATTGAGTTTCATCATTGCTTCATATCTTTGATTTTACCGCCATTTGCACTGGATATTATTATACACATACAGGTTGTTAAAAAAAGTAAAGCAAAATTACCAAAAGTCGAGATGAAATGCCACTTAAAATATTTAATGACAGACACCTTTATACAGTATTGAATTATGGCGAAATGCCATTTGAACATTTCATGACTGATGCTTTCAAACAGTTACTTTTTTAACGTTGCTATGACGAAAAATTTTTGCTTAATTTTGTGTAACTTTTTTAACACGCTGTATTGAAGAGGATTTTACTACTTTTGATCAAAGACGTCACATCGGATTTTCGAGGAAGTTTAGCCTAGGCAGGTACCGGAGTCCTAGGAAAGCAATCTCGCATCCAATTCAATCAATGCAAGACTTTAGAACCAATTTTTCTTATTTGTACTATTTTGCATAAAAAAAACTGCTAACAAAATATACAACAATACATAGAAAAAGGTTACAAAGGAGAATCACTTAGCATACTTTCAGAAACTTGCTAAAAGCAATGTTTTGAGACTTCGTTTTCAAGGAACAACGGGGGCAACATTGCCTAGTTTACTGGTTTTCAAACAGTGGGCCATGGCCCTTTTGGCCCACAAGAACAATTTCAGGTGGGACACAGACTTACTAAAAATTGCTCTAGAGTTGTTGATAAATTCAGTTAAATTTGATGGTAGTAGCAATCAATGATGCTGTTTTTTGTGGTGACCGTACATTTGAACCACGTTGACGCTAGTATTAGCAATTGCTAATATCATTTTCAAGGTGACCGTAAATTTGAATCCACGTACACTTCAACCCATGCGAATATCCGCAGGTTCAATCTAAATGCAGGTGCTAAAACCCATGGGTTAGGGTTAGTACGGGTTCAAATATCCGCAAAACAAAAAAAAAATCTATAGGTGCAATTGTCGTGGGTTCCAATGTAATGGAACCGTTTTTTGTTACAGGGTTGCTATTTTCTCCTAATGATTATCAAAATGAAATTGTCAATTTTCGCATGAGATTCTGAAAAAGCCACTTTTTCCGGACTTCGACTGGGCCCACTGGTTGTTAGTCATAACTTGGCAATTATAAATTTTAGAACACCCATTTCAAAATTTCTGGATACGCCTCTGGGAATCTTAATATCCGACCGATACACAAACAGATAGGCCATTACATGCAATCAAATTTGACTTGACATATATAAAACTAGATTGTCAGGGAATGAATATAGTAAAAATAAACAACATTAATACAGTATATAAAGTGCAGCTACGTTGGTGGCTACATACAGTGCATAAAATATATGTATGAACATAGATAACCAATGTATATGAATCTGGGGATTGGAGATAAGTGTGAAAAGGGGGGAACTTTTATTTTTTTTTACCCACTTGAATAAAATGCTGATAACACCCCATAAATCAAAATTCAAAACTGAAACTTGAGTTCATAATCAAGATTTTAAAATTATAAATGAAATAAATAACCTTGTCAAAGATGTATAAGTTTGAAACCTGTATCTTCTAATCAGGCTACAGTGTTTTCGCAACGTTTTACTGGTATAAAATATTGGAGTAAATGTTTATGGTTTGTATCATAACATCCAACCCTTACCATATCATGCAATCTCGTAAGAGACTCTGATATTGGCAATAGATATCATGACGAGATAAAGAGTATAGGGCTACAAGCGATAAGGGCTGCGAAAATTGTCAAAGTTTCTGTATCAAATTTTGACTCTTATCATCACCAATTTTACTCCTTTCATCACTCCCAGAAATTCAGAATTTCGATTTCGGGGCTAGAAGCCATTATGAATGAACTTTGATTCCAAGTACCTTATAACATCTCATGAAGTCTCGAGTGGAATGGATAAAGCAATAAATATAGGTAACGTGTTGTTAGTGCAGGTAAATAATATTTTCTAAATGTGAATGTTTGATGAGGAGTGTTGATCTCAGTCTGATGGTTCATATCTGTGAAAAACATATTGGAAAAATCAACCAGGTTACAAATATGGGATTTTTATTTTTATCCTAAGGGGGGTGTCAATGACGAAGTTAAATGCTGAATGACGGCATCAGTTCGCTTACCATATCGTGTCCAAGAATATTTCCAATAAAAATTTCGTCATTTATATCGCAATTTACATAATGAGTGCGGACGCTTTCCTAACTATATAAACATAGCAGATTAAAGATATTGAATTCAAACCCTGTTTTTGGAATGTCGCAATAATCTTGTAAAGAGGGGGGGGGTATGAAATTTCTAATTGCCAAGTTAAACTGTAACAGCTAGGGGAATCAGACAGGGGCCGGTAAACGTAGGTTTTCAAGAGTCTTGAGGGTCTAAAATGTGTTTTAGACTACAAAAAATTGGGTGCTCCCGAAGTATGCGAACCAAGATGGCGGACATCGGAACGTAACATGGGTAACAGGTTAGGGTTAGGCGATAATTTTTTTCCAATTTTCCTTATTTTAGTCCTATTATCAGTTCGAAGACTAGCGCCAAGAGCCTCCCGTAGTATTTATACCTAAAATTATGGCTCAACCCTAACCTAGTACACATATTGCATTCCGATGTCCACCATCTTGGTTCGCATACTTCGGGAGCCCCAAAAATTGTTATGTATGATACCGAAAGGTGGCTGGTCATGGAGGAACGTATGAAGAAGGTTTCTTACTTTGCAACTGTCTTTCTCAAATCTTTAATCTGGTTATTTTTCTTCGTTAACATATCTTTCATATTCCGATATGCTGCAGTCTCGCGGAATTTTTTGTCCAATTCTTTCTCTGCTAATTCTAATTGCTCCTGAAACACAAAAAACAAATTTACTACTAAATAAGAAAAAATATTGGGAAGAGTAAAGCCAACAAAATTGCTTAATTGCATTACAGACTTAATGGTGAAGGAAGCCGTAACCAACCAGCGGTTAGGTGAAACACCCTACAGCGGCGAGGAGTCAAGCAATCCTCTCGCACATGATCATCCCCGCATGGGATTCGTACTTGCGACCTCATGCAGGATAATCAGAGACGCAGTGGCGAGCATATTCATAACACTTAGCCCGATGTGCTACACCGAAGAGCTCTCATATCTTTAGATAACAATAGCATTATATATAGGGCGTTATCCGAATCTATAGGAGTAAGCAACACATAGAAAAATACAACTTTATATTCACATCAAGACTGACCTTAACTCGCAGTAACTGGTGTTTAGATGTCGTCAGGTTAATTTCCAAAACTCTATTTTCCGATATTTTTTCGTTCAAATTTTCGTTGAATTCTGAACGTAATTTCTTCATGTCTGATTCAAGTTGAGAGACTGTCGCTGAGTCCTGTGAAAAAAAATGAATGGTGAGTGATTTAAGAGCCTTGCTGCGCGCTAACACAAATAGATTTCTGTTAGTGTTCTGTATCTGGTGGATCTGTATGCATATAATGCAAGGATTCTAGCATAAATAAAGATAACCATTCTAAGTGATTTAAGAGTCCTGCTGCACACTAACACATATATATTTCTGTAACGTGTTGTCTGACTAAGTCAGACTTTTGCAGACTCATATAATGCAAGAATGGTCAGCTAGCTAAGACCGTCACACTGGCGCTTGCTGGTTGTGATCGAGTGCATGTGTGCTATGTTTAACATCGTTTCTGAGCACATATACCCCTGATTATCACATATACACACTTGCACATGGCAACCATGTGAATGGCAAATATGCATTCTATTCCCTCTTATCTAAAAGTCGGTGAACTGTCAAGTACTAAGCAAGCAAAGAACCCAAGATAGCTTACCATTGTTGCAACAGGCTTTTCTCCCAACTGTTTGACTTGTTCTTGAAGTGCATTTTTCTCTCTCAAAACAGCGTTGACCTGTTCTTCCATTTTCTTACTCCTCTGTTGGAATCTTTCAAGCTCTCCATTCAGTCGCTCTATTTCCTGGTGAAGTTTTTTTTAATTTTTACAATAAAATTTTTAACGAAGAAAATATGCTTAAAGCAAGATCCTGCACATAAATAAATGAGGCCGAATTCGGGGCAAAGTTGCATCCCCTGCGATCACTGAAAAACCGAGAGAGATTATGGCATTATGTAGATGGCAGTCCAGAGATGGCCACTTCGAATTGAATGTATTCGAATATCGGAATTGGCGTTCATAAGAATATCGGATATTTCTTTGAGGTCACACATTTGCGTCGCTGCTTTCAAGAAGTTTCTGTTGAATGGAAACATTCTCAATAGAAACCTGCGCATCGTACACACCCTCAAGCACATGCGCGCCCTCGTCAGAAAAAACTAGGTCATACACGTTCTCTCGTTTTGCAAACATTTAGATCTCTTCTTTTTCTGTATCGATTTTATTATCGATTTTATTATTTATTTGACCGCGGGCCGGGTATGACTCAAACTGTGTTGAAACGGGCCGGCCAATATTTTTGTCAATGCAATACAATAAATTCACAAAAGTTGGGAAATCCATTCAATTTGTTAACAATATATATTTTACATTTCTTGAATATTAAATTCTATCTATATCGCAGAATATAGATCGAGAACATCCTAGGAAAAAAAATATACAAGATTTCTATATCTAGACAACTATCCTGAGTTTAGCTGTTATCAAAACGGTGCAGTCATGAATTAGGAATGTTACAGACAGGGATGGCCAATACCGAATAGTTCACTATTTCGAATACATTCGAAATTATTATTTTCGAATATGAAATTTCGAATATCTCGAAAATAAAATCCAGTAATAGAAGCTTATCTACGGTAAGTGTATGAAGGAATTTCCATACAACAAACAATGGAATATCTGCTATCTACAACCTGGCTATATTACCAGGCATTTCATGTTTGCAGATTATTGCGATATATATTTTATATAGCATGAGTTATGTCAATTAACAGAATTAAATTAATACGGCAAGACAATTTAAATAGTGGTATCGGTGATGGATTTGAATAATTGCGCAGTAGAACACCCATACTTTTAAATACCAACTATTATCCAAATTATTTGCCAAAAAGCGGGATAAAGTATGAGTTATTTTTCAGACTTGTGACAATTTTTTCGTGAGTACAAATATACCAATCAAAAATTAATTATATTCGGGAACTTTACCACACCTTTTAAGTCCGCAGATCGCCGTTGTATGTTTGGGTAATAATACTTTTATTATTTTATAAATACGAAAACTATTTATAATCGGGTAGTTTACCACACATTCAAAGTCCACAGATCGCCGTTGTATTTTGTAAATACGAAAATGGGAATCAAAAATTAATATTAATGGCGAGTTTGCCACACAATTTATGTCCACAGAATGCCGTGATATTGTGCCCGAATATAAATAATTTTTGATTCTTATTTTCGTACTCACGAAAAAATTGTCACAAGTCGGAAAAATAAATTATACTTTATCCCGCTTTTTGGGAAATAATTTTTATAATGGTTGCCATTGGTTTGTATTTAAAAGTGTGGACCTCTTACTGGGATGATTTAGTGCGGCGCAAAATATTCGAATCCATGACCGATACCACTATTTAAAATGCCTTGTCGTGTTAATTTAATTCTGTTAACATAACTCAAATGTTGGTAAATCGGGCAGTTTACCACACATTTAAGTCCACAAATCGCCGTTGTATTTTAGAGTTATAATAGTTTTATTATTTTGTAAATACGAATCCGAAATTAATTATAATTGGGCAAGTTACCTCACATTTCATGGACCACAAATACCCGTGGTATTTGGTATTAATACTTTCATTATCGATACTTTCAACCATCGTTATCAAAATTATTTGCCAGAAAGCGGCTTTTCATACAGGCCTCCAAAAGGACTGGTAGAAAAATTGGTCCCTGTTGTTCAGTTATGCTAATATGCGCTGATAATTTCATACGTTTAGAACCGGATCATGTTCGTTTAGTAGAACCATACTCACGGATTTAACTATTCTTAACAATAAAGCGGAAAATTTAAATTATGAAGCGGCAATCATTTTGGACAACCTATCAACCCGAATGTTGAAATAATTTTGTAATGTGATAAGTACCACGCTGTACATCCACGGGTTATTTCACAGCTGTGTTTCACGTCCCTGTCGTTTTCTGCTTAATCGGCAAAACGAAAGGGTCATAAATCACTTACTTTATCTCGGTGGCCGTGTTTTCTCTTTCAAGTAACGATAATCGGCCTACGATTAAATATCATGATTGGCAGACCCATAAAAACCAAATATAAGGTTAACACAAATCATGCTTGAGAAGATTCATGCGAAAAATAAGCAGGCCACATAAAAATAAAATAAACACACTTTCTCAATAAGGCGCCCCCCCCCCCCAAAAAAAAAAAAAATTGGGTCTAGAAAAGCGACTTATTAGCCGGGAAATTTTTCGACTAATGGAAATGATTTTATAAATTAAAAGACGAATGTCGGCAATGTCCACCCACGCAAACGTGCTGCAACACCATGCGACGGACATTCGCGCTGAATATAAACAATGAAAGTGCCGATTCTATTTCATCGTCATTACAATACGTGAGCGTAAAAAGTCGTTTGAAGATTCCGTAAAAATTGACAAAAAGTGACTACTATTCGGAATTATTCGAAAATCAGCCGAAAAGGTATTCGAATACTTTGATATTCGAATAATTTCGAATATTCGATTCGTTTTGGACAACCCTGGTTACAGAATTCGCCTTTTTCGCGCCGAAAAATGTTCGCATCACGACCGCTGAGTACAGTTACGCCGTGTCGGAATACCGCTCATAAAAACGACTACAGACTGCTTGCTGTAGCAAGGAATTCCATGAAATTTTGACAGGCCTATTATCACGTCACTTTTTTGCATATTGCTGATTGGCCAATTTTACGAAATAAACAAGGAAGACGATGCCCGGGAAAATTTCCTTTGGAAAAATATTTCGCCATTTTTGCGTTAACGCGGGCCGGATAAAATGACGCCCCGGGCCGTAGTTTGGTGACCCCTGATCTAGGCCAAACTATATCATTTATATCAAGGACACTGCGCCTCTATCTTGTTATTCCAACTACGTAAGCTGCTATTATTTCTATTGATAGCTATAAACTATTAGTTCCTTTGTGTACATATACTGTTGGTTTGTGGTTTTATTCTGATATTTATATTGGAGCTTATTCCCTATTTTACTGGGTTTTAAAAACTAAATGTGTTATGTCTGATTTTAGAATGTATTCAGAATTCCAGATTCCAAAATATTATTTTTGAATGTATTTGGAATAGTTCAGTATCAAGCATGTGTGCCAATATGGAGGTAACTAATTTTGTTCGCCTACTTTACATCAAGTTGTGTAAAAGGACTGAAACCAACACAGACAGCCCCGAACTCGTAATAGAACTGAAAAAAAAATCGGAATAAGATTATGGCTTAACCATAACCTGGTATTGTACATATACTACAGGAGTACCCTTATTACATACAACTCTATTGTCAGAATTACAGAGGTCTATTATCTAAGTACAAATTTTTCAAAAAATACCCAAAAAGCATCGAAGTAATTAACCAAGCATTCTAAATAGTCAATTAGAGGAGAAGGCTACAAGTTTTTGTTAGTAAGATTTAGTTGGAAAAGAGTTCAGATGTGGAATTAAAATTTTCTTCCAAACTGGAGTCGGGAGATAGATTTCGAAATATCTGTCAACCTGTTTTTCAAATATGCCACACAAAACCTAGAAAAACTATTTAAACATTGTCACATTGATTCGGATATTGATTCATTCCCGGTATTATTAAACTCACCATTTGTAAAAGTGCAGTCCCTCCAGTTTCATTTAACGGAGCGAGTTTAGGTTTTGGAGCTGATGAGGAGCCACCTAGTGTCAGTTCTCTTTCTTCAAATTCCGCAATCTGTTCAAGAAGTTCTCTAAAATGAAAAAATGAGATAAAATTTGTAGCTGCTCTCATCATTAGCCTTGATCAAAAAGAAAATATAGTCTGACAAAAAAAAGGGAACCTCCTGAAGTATGCGCACCAAGATGACGCACAACCTGAACTTAGGTTGCGTACTAGGTTAGGGTTCAGGTTATGCAACATCTTGGTGCGCATACTTCAATACCAAAAAAGGAATATTTAATTCAAATTAAGTTTGTTATGTTAAAGTGCTTATGCTTTGGGTCAACTTTCTATTATTGAAAAACCGACTTGTTGATATATAGCAGTTTGCCTTGATGTATCTATTGTTTTTTGAATAACATATTTTGTTCGTTATCACATTCTGTTAGACTTCCCTGAGGGTGCCTCCGCTCGATGACCAGTATTGGTTTTTGACGTTTATTTTGACCCTGAATGCAAATTTTTTATGTTTCTTTTACCATAATTTGTAAATGTATAGTTCGTATTTTCAGAATGGCGAAAGAATAAATTACTGAAGACAGTTCGGATTGTGGGCGCTGGATTTATAGGAGTTAAAGAACTTTCGGTACTCCTGAAGTATGCGCACCAAGATGAGTTCAGGTTGTGCGCCATTTTGGGTGAGCATACTTCAGGAGGTCCAAACTTTCCCCATCAGATATCAGAATTGGACATTTTCAATTTTCGAAATTAGTACTCAGTCATTTTGACAAAAAAAATCATGAAAATGTAACTTGTAACTTTATTTGTGGGCACTGGAATAAAATGGAAGGTCTTTGCCGATCAGACAGATATCTTTAACAATATTCAGCATTTTCAATTTTCCCAACGCTGAGTACAAAGTCGTTTATTCTACATTTGTTCATGAAAATTTAATGAGAATTAATATTCGAGGGCGCTCCAGAAGTGTATGTACGAATATGGAGGTAGCTAATTTTGTTCGCCTACTTTACATCAAGTTGTATAAAAAGACTGAAACACGTGGGATACACAGAGAGTCCCCGAAGTTGTAATAGAACTAAAATAAGAAAAATTGGAATAAAATTATAGCCTAACCCTAACCTAGTACACATACTGCCGGAGCACCTACGGTATTTGAGAACCAAGACATATAAAACAAGAGAGCTATGCTCAAATATATGAATACGTAGCGCCACCCAGTGGCAATAATTTTGATGACGTCATAGCGGGAAAAAAAAGTAATAGCCTTCTGGAGAAAAATTTTATCTTTAACCACTGAAAATATCAAAGCAATTGGTCCAGTATTCGAAGAGAAAAGCGATTTTTTAAAAATGGAGACGGAGACAAATAACAACAATAACAAAGCATGTATATTCAAATCCTCCCAAGACTTAACAAGGGCTGGGGACCCGAAGCCTGGAGCCGTGACATTTTGGTGAAACCAAAGCTACCAAAAATATCAGTGGCTCCAGCTCCCAACCATCTGATTATTTCTTCACATTTATAATTTTCTGATACCTGATACAAAAAAATCTTAAATTTTCAGCTTATAATTGTTTTTATAAACTTCAGTTCCTATGATTAATTAAAAAGTTCCAAGTTGAATTCATATAATGATAGGTTTAATTTCAAAATTGACTTATATCACAGTTCATTCCCACTTCTGCAAAGCCGCAATTTTTTATGTTCGTGGCCAAGGTCAAAAAACCTAATGGCTATGGAGCCAAAGCCAAGACTGAAGCCCAGCTCTGACATAAGATGTCGCTCCAGAGCTCATGTCACGGTGTGAAGATCCGGAACTGTGTAGTTGGAGTCCTCGTGATTTCACTTAACCAATCCGAATACACTCTGAAGGTTTATTTTCGAATATGAACTAGGCCTATCCGATATTTTGAAAATTGGATCATGTTCATCAAAGAACACACACAGAATTCAATGCATATTTAATGAAAGGTAAAACGAGAATATCGGTCAGAGACCGAAGACTTATGGATCGAAAGTTAGGGGATCCTCCAAAACAGCGCTCTTACTCCATAGTGACACCTTGTGTCCCATCACTAAATAATTAATAACTCGCTAATTATACGACATAATTCGCCCAAAATCAATAGGCTTCTGGTCCGAGATAAGATGAATGCACATGCAAAATCTGGAGCAGATTCAATCACGCTTTCGTGAGATATCGCGTGCATCTAACAGACAAACAGACATATAAATACCTATCAACATACTTACCGATTAAAATCGATAAGTAATAAACACATAATAGGTGTGACATAATATCCACACCTAGTTACGAGGTGACACTTTCTGGCCCCACTCCAGTTAGCTAGTGGTTACCAGTATGCAAAACTATTCGATCTTGGTCACCCATGTTATGTAAATCCAAAACCCAACCTGTTTTCAAGTTCTGAGATATCAGCCTCGATCTTCAGGTGCCATTTCTCGGCTTGAGTCAACATCTGTCTCATCAACAGCACACTCGTGTGGCTAGAATTTAGTAATTCCGATTCCATCTCGCTTCGACAAACTGTCAGAAGTCCATCCAGCATCTCTGTGACTTCGTCCACTGTGTAAGTATCCTCATATAGTCTGGAGAAAAAATAAGTTTATTTCGACCTCTTCATGAAACACCAAGACATAAAAATGCAAGCAGTTAAGAAAATGGGAAGGTATACATGATCCCTCAGTGGAACTGACTCTGAATATATGTGTGGGTTCGAATCCCAAGTAGGGATAATTATGTGCAATAGGATTGCTGAACTACTCGCTGCCGCAGGGTGGTTCACATAACCACATAATTCGTTTTCCTGATTTGTAATCAGTTTTATTTATTTGTTTTCATTTATTTTATCGTCTGTTATGCAGATTATAAAGTTAAAATAAATTTATACTTGAATTTATATCATAACTTACATATCAGTGGACTATTGTTCGATATGATCTTATTATTATAACTTTGGAAATAATGGTAAAATATTAGCACTGGTACTTTTATACTAGGATGAGAAGATTCTGGCTAGTCACGTTCCAATGATTACCTGCTGTCTTTTAAATCTTGGAAACAATGATCAACACCTTTTAACCGTTGAGAACGCTTGTAACGATTGAATCGAATGAAATTCAATGCTTGTTGTTGGTGGTGATCGTTTAATCCGAGGGCAGACTGAAAAATAACGATGTGGTGTAATACTTAGTGATGTTAGGGGTCAGGTTGGAATGTTTTAATTGGTTATGATTGATAGGGTAGGTGGCAGAGTTGTATTTTCATACGTTATATACTTTACATCAGGGTGGTCCAGACCCTGGCACATTCCGTGGGCTCCACAGAAAAATTTTGACGTTTACTAAACCATTGGCAGATATTTGTATTTATTGACAGAACAATTTCCACCTATTCTAGCTGGGGTTGGGATCCCAAGATTCACACCCTCTACCTTAGAATGGTCCAAACCCAGGCCCGCCGCTTCATTATCTGTGGCCCGTGCCGCATTCAAAGAGTAATCAAAATATTTTATTTTTAATTGCTTCTCATAAAATGGATCAAAAAACTCGTTTGACATATTGTTGTTATATCCCTACTGTGACAGACTTGACTAGTATGATGGCTAGCTGAATCAACTAGCGAAGTTGAAGATGTGATTGGCGGTCTAAACTGTTACCTGGATTTCTATCGTTTTGGTTGGGAATATAAGTTGCTAACAAGATAGGCTAGGCATGATAGAAAACTAAAAATCGAATGCGGATTTCATTATCCTAGGTTGGCAATGTCTGATAACTATGTGTTTACACAATAGGAGTGCTTGTTTTGTATTGCACTGTTTACCTATTTTTGGTACTATTATGGCCCGCGACGAATGCCAAAATAATTTTGTGGCCCACGGAGCCCACAATCTTGGACCACCCTGCTCTACCTAATACATGTGTGGAGAATGATATTTAAAGTGAGTAAACTTGCAGTATTCTGATCGTCTTTAGGTTTTCTCGACTGAGACATGCAAGGCATTCTCAGAATATTTTGCAGCCCTTCAGTTTCGCAAACCTGAACCACCCTGTTTTACATGCTATTAATTTCACCAAAAATCACTTCAATGTTGCCCTAATGAATGCTCAGATAATCCAGTAATCAGATGCTTGTTTGACATCACTGTGGTAGCTTTACTTGAGCATAGGAAAACAGATTCTGACAAGTTTTTTAACGCCATACACCAAAGCGTCTCGTGTAGTTTCGTACCTAACGTACTTCTAGTGGACGAAGAATAACATTTTTTCAATATGTCAATCCTAACCCCATCTGACAACGCTATCCAAAAGTTACGTCACTACTACGACATCACAATCACGCCATGGAGCTTGCCAAATTTGTACAATCGCCCGAAATGCAAAATGGCATCTGCGCCACGGATGAGGAACTGACCAACGTCATCGATCTCTCTTATATTGGGATCGACGCGCCGAAAAAACGAGAGAAATAGCTGTTCGATTTCGGGTGCTCATCTTGGATGACAGTATAGTTTGAAGGGCTCTATTACGTCACTGTGACATCGTAATGACATAAATTTTGGATGGCGTAGTCAGGTGGGGGTTAGGATTGACAAAAATTTGTTATGCTACACCCACTAGAAGTATGTTAGGTCGAAACTACATGGATGCCCAGTTTAAATGAAAAAACAAAATAAACAATAAAATCCCCTAGAAATAAAAAATCAATAATTATCATGTTTTTTAAAAAACAAGCAGACCTAACATTGTTTACAGGTTTATGGAAATAAATCCCTCCTTCATGAAAAAAATTCTAATTGCTAATACAAAAAAAAATTGAAAAAGCATATTTTAAATTAGTGACTCACCATGACTAATTGTCAAAATCCAGAAGAATAATCCGACGCTGAAAACAAAGCCAATATCCCAAATCAGCAAGTCTACAGACTGGCAGACGCAAGCAACAACACCACGGCTCCTATACAAAGCCAGAATATCCACGATATGCCAAGATTTGGCAGAATTTTATAAAGAGTTCGCACTAGAAAGTAAACAATGTGCCATTTCATAATTATTGTTGTTACTGTCGATGCAATATACTTAATGAAACCATTTTAAGGGAACACGAATATTTGCGCGTGGGAAACGGAAAGGGTAGAAAATATTTGTCAAGTCAGTGGGCAAGAGCGTTCCCGGTTACAGACATGCCTGATTGCACTTTTTTTATTCCCTGTTTAAGGGAGAGAGAGATCTATTATTTTTTCAACAAAAAAAATGCAGTCATCGGCTGTCGCTGCTCGATAACCATTCCTGGTTCCCCGCGACTTCCCTTCCCCAGTAAAAATGTGTTTTCAGTTTTGTATTTTGTTAATTTCGTATGTTGTTTTTTTCTGAATGGGAGTACAGTAGCTCTAGTGCCTTTTACCTTTGTGGCCCATTTTTGTCGCCAAAAATTCTTGTGGCCCATTAACTTTTTATTGTAAGGGGAAAACTATGAGAAAGTCAAGAACTTTTTGCAAAAATGAACATTTAAACAATTATAATTAGATGCCGCTACAACTGGGTTATCTGAAGCCTGAAACTTCTCCCGCAAAAAAATAGTTTAAGGATTTTGAAGGTCAACTAGCCACCCACCTAACTTGTAAATCTTGAATAAATTTTTGATATTGTGTGGTAAATGCTTTTTTTTCTTTTTGGGCTTGTGGATCTTATTTTTTCCACAACTAATGGACTGCACATTTTCAGTATTTGAAGTCGCTAGAACAGGAGTAGCCAACCCGCGGCTTGCGAGCCTCACGCTGCTCTTACGCCGGTCTCATGCGGCTCCTTTCGCCTTGGTCTCATGCAGCTCTTTTCGCTTCTCAAACTTCTTGATATTGTGACGCCCTTCAAAAAATATATTCAAGTTGCGATTCACCTTAAAAAACGCCTTGATACCTTTCAATAAAAGACCTCTTTTACGATGAGTTTGATTTGAATTATGTCTCGAGGAAACTGACGTGGTGTCAATATTAAATATCCGTTTGAGTCCAAGTGCATAACGTCGCTCAACAACGCTCGATATGTCCTTGTTGGACACGTGAGTGGACCTATAAATCGTTTTCATATTTTTGGTAAACCTATACTTGTTGGTCTTCTTCGTATCGTTTTAAAAAATATCTTTCATTCTTGATTACTTTGGACCTTTGACCCCCGGAAAATTCTTCCCATACTTTACCATTGCAAAATTTTCGGGGCTATTTTAAGAGTGCTTTTGCGAGTTGGCGCTTGTAAAATGTATGTGTTTCAAACCATCATTATGATTTATCGCATACAACATTCTGTTTTTAAAAGTACCGATAACGAATTTCAGGCTAGTCTATCACAGCTATTTCTGCACTAATTTTTATTACTGCAATTTAATTAAAACTCCTAGGAAGACAGAGTGATCATTGAATTATCTGATTTATATTTAAGTTTCCGAAACAAAACTAAAAACTAACGAATAGAGTGCGAAAACGAGATAATGTTTACAACCACGCTTGAAAATCTGTCTGAGTGAGAAAAGTGTCTGAGCGAAAGAGGGCTGAAAAGGGGGCATTGTTATTTCACTTTTTGAATCTTGCTGATTGGCCAATGTCACAAAGTAAACAAGGAAGTCGATGCTCGGGATAAGGTCCAATTTTCAGTGACAAAAGTTAATATTTTTTCGCTAGAGGGCTGTTACTTATATATATAGTTTTTATCGTCTATCCAGTGTGTGTGATGTCATATTTGGAAAAGTATTGGATGACCCATGACATTAGTGAGGTCACATAAAAATAAGGTTGGTCGTTACAATTTTGAAAATTTATTTTCTTCTCCAGTTCTCAAGTTCGGTTCCAACGAGAAACGTTTTAGCGACGCCCCAGATAAATTGGAACGACGCGGCGACGCACACTTTGAAAACCACGGTTCTAAAGTAAAAACTACATATTACTGTTCACTCCCATTTATAAAATTGATCAATTTGGCAGTGGCAATCATCATAAATTTGTTAATATGGTGTGGCAAGTAATTTTTATTTATTTATTTTTTATTAACTTCCAGTATGTAATTTTTCATGTTCCCTTCACGTAATAACTTCTATATGGTTGTGTGTGTGGGTGCGTGTGAGCGTGTGTGAAATATTTCAATTATTTTAGGTGAGTGAACACGTACCACATCTTCTTGGCAAAACCTTATCTAAGGTTTTGTTCGCTCTCCTGATTTCATAATCAGTTCTTAGTTATTTATTGTTACCATTCATTTTATTGTTTTGCTGATTATGGAGTCGAAATAAACTTATACTTATACTATGATTCATGAACATTCTTCTTTTACGTCAAAATGCACGAACGCTTTATGCACGTCACGAATTTTTTGGTATCAGAAGCATCAACTAGGATAGGATTTACATATTTATCCAGGGGAAGGGGTAGTGTCGATAAGACCGCTTAACCATATGGCACACCACAGCCTCGCGTCCGGTTACCATTTCGTGTCGGGTATGAGATTAGTTAGATATTTTTGTTTTCGAGAGCATGGACTTGATAGAGGAAGCCGTAAGCGACCAGCGGTTACGTGAACCACCCTACAGCGGCGAGGAGTCAGCAATCCTCTCGCACATAACCATCCCTGCATGGGATTCGAACCCATAAAGAGTAATCAGAGGTGCGGTAGCGAGCGTATTCCTAACGCTTAGCACGATGAGCCACACCAACTACAACGGTTATCGTAATCATATCGAAAACGACGTTCGATGGCAAACGCGCAGTCAATTGCATAATAAAAATAAAATATCCGAATCTGAATCTACCATTTGAGTGAAGTAATTGAAGTTCTGAAATCTAATCCTGAAACGGATTGTTTGAAATTCCGGTACTCCTGAAGTATGCGCACCAAGATGTCGTGCAACCTGAACCCAAACCTGAGTTCAGGTTGTGCGCCATCTTGGTGCGCATACTTCAGGAGGTCCGAAATTCTTTCTAGCCTCAGACAAATATGCAGATGAGTTGAAGAGGATTTACATACTTACCGGTTACCATTCCATGTCGGGTATGGGATTAGGGACTTCAAGATGTATATGCACCAAGATGGCGCACAATCTGAACATAGTATGTGTACCAGGTTAGGGTTCAGGTTGTGCGTCGAGAATGCCGGATTAGTTGGTTATTTGTTTTAGGATAGGATAGGATTTACATATTTATCCCGGGGGAGAGGAAAGCCGATAAGACGGCTTATCCATATGGCGAACCATCAACTAGGATAGGATTTACATATTTATCCAGGGGAAGGGGTAGTGTCGATAAGACCGCTTAACCATATGGCACACCACAGCCTCGCGTCCGGTTACCATTTCGTGTCGGGTATGGGATTAGTTAGATATTTTTGTTTTCGAGAGCATGGACTTGATAGAGGAAGCCGTAAGCGACCAGCGGTTACGTGAACCACCCTACAGCGGCGAGGAGTCAGCAATCCTCTCGCACGTAACCATCCCTGCATAGGATTCGAACCCATAAAGAGTAATCAGAGGTGCGGTAGCGAGCGTATTCCTAACGCTTAGCACGATGAGCCACACCAACTACAACGGTTGTCATGATCATATCGAAAACGACGTTCGATGGCAAACACGCAGTTAATTGCATGATAAAAATAAAATATCCGAATCTGAATCTACCATTTGCGTGAAGTAAATGAAGTTCTGAAATCTAATCCTGAAACGGATTGTTTGAAATTCCGGTACTCCTGAAGTCAAACTTGAGTTTAGGTTGTGCGCCATCTTGGGCGCATACTTCAGGAGGTCCGAAATTCTTTCTAGTCTCAGACAAGTAGGCAGATGAGTTGAAGAGGATTTACATACTTACCGGTTACCATTCCATGTCGGGTATGGGATTAGGGACTTCAAGATGTATATGCACCAAGATGGCGCACAATCTGAACATAGTATGTGTACCAGGTTGTGCACCATCTTGGTGCACATACTTCGAGAATGCCGGATTAGTTGGTTATTTGTTTTCAGAAGCATGGACTTGATGTTGAACGAAGCCGTAATCGACCAGCGGTTACGTTAACCACCCTATGGCGGCGAGGAGTCCAGCAATCACATAAACATCCCCGCATGGGATTCGAACCCACACAGGGTAATCGGAGATGCGATGGCAAGCGTATTCCTAACACTTAGCATGATGGCAACATAGGTGGTAATACTTATGCACCATGAATATCAAGCGCTTGGACATTGCTTGCCATTCTTTCTTGCACACATGAATAGACCCAATCCGGGGTGCTGCTACTCCATAACTAAAATTGTTTTATCTGGTCTCATTTCACCCTGAAATGCTATTTTTATTTCATTCTACACTGAATAAGTGCGTTACGTATTTTCAGCATTGAAGAAAAAAATAAATTACTGATATATTTATTTCTCACAAAAGAATTGCACGTATCCCAGCGAAAATTGCATAATTAATACAGAAAAAGGTAATTCATAAAATCAAATTGCGGTTGAAAAATATGAGAATTAATGCACCAATATTTGAACACAAATCACCACCACACATGCTGTAAGTGGAGAATATATATAGGCGTAATGTTCTCAGAACCAGCAAAATTTGGGGCGCTCCAGAGGTGGGTGTACCAATATGGAGGTAACTAATTTTGTTTGCCCACTTTACATCAAGTTGTGTAAAGGAAAATAAAACCTATGAGAGTCACTTGGACAGTCTGTGAACTTGTAATGGAACTAAATAAGGAAAATATGGAATAAAATTATGGCCTAACCCTAACCTGGTACACACACTACGGGAGTACCGAATTTGGAGCCTACAAAACCAAATCACAGAATATTTGAAAGCTAATCCTAGAAGGCAATGCTATATTTTACCAAATAGCGATCATAGGCATAACTCAACGAGTCCAAGGTTAGAGTTAATCACTGCGCTAAGAGTCTTACTGGTGATAAATCTCGTTCGACTCATTTTATTTCTAAAGGAATCGATCAATCTTGCATGTATCTCTCACAGAAAGCATAGGATTCGTATAAATCAAAAAAGGTACTCCTGAAGTATGCGCACCAAGATGTCGCATGAACCCTAAACTTGTGCGCCATCTTGATGCGCATACTTCAGGAGGTCCAAAAAACTCACTAGTGGCATTTAGTGAATACAAATTGCATAATTGGTATAGAAAAAGCAATTAATAAAATTAAATTGAACTAATAAAAATATTAAAGCGATAGACAAATATTTGGTGGTAAACCAATGACAAACTACGATAAACATTTTTAAAAAGAAATCCAGCATTCCACCTAATAAGCCTTCCATAAATATCTATGACTTGCTCGTCTACTTGCGGCCACCTTTTGTTGCTTTTTTCTTTGAACAGAACTCCACTTTTGCATGAACTGCAAATGGCGCAGTCTGGTTGTTCCCTGAAAATAGATACAAAGAAAGTGTTCTCGTTGAAAGGGAGATAAGTAAAAGAGAAAATAAAATAAGTGTTTTGTGGGCGTGATAGATTGGCATTTCAAACGGGGTGATCGTTGCCATATCTTGGCAAGCTCTATTTCGTGATTATGATGTAATTTTTGGATGCTGTAGTGCAGTGGTTCTTAAAGTATGGGTCGCGACCCAAACATGGGTCGCGGAAGGTATAAAATTGGGTCGCGACAAGGTCGTCGGCAATCTAAGAGCAGAAGGACGAATTTTCAGTTTTCCTAATGTTTCAATTTAGCTTCTAAACTCTGGTATTTAAAAATAATGTAATATAAAATTTCAATCACGGTAAGAACTGTCTTGAGCTCGTTGTTACATCACAATTCTGATATGCCAGTCACGTGTATTATTTTTATGGTATCGGTAACCATGCACGTCGCTTGTCGTTGTGTTGACCGCGTGGAATGTCGTCTTAGTGGATTAAAATAACCAAAAATGGGTGTCTTTTTTGTAATGTAAATTGTAATAGACGACGCAATGAAAAAGCTCGCTTCTCGACATTAGATTATTCAATATCTAGAGAAAATGTGACTTCATCTCGAGGCACCATTTACCGTGAACGAAGCAGTGTGTGCACATTTGATGAGTGAAAAGTTGTATATTGCGAGAGATACCGAAGGTCAGCTAGGATGTCGTGTTTGCGACGGATAGCGGACGCCTTTTCTGCTACAATTCGCGACTTGTGCGAGCGAGGATATTTGGCTCTGACGGTTATCAAAACTAAGCTCGCAATCGCCTCGATACCCGTGACAACTTGCGTATTGCGTTAAGTAAAATAGAGCTGTGTATTGAAGATATAATGAAAAGGAAATTTTAGTTTCATCAATCTCACTGAGTCAATGGACTGTTTCTAATAAATAGTTGTCTGTATTTGAGTCAAACTGTATTAACATTAAAAACACATTTTGCGTTATTTAGGATTGGGTCGCGAGTATTCATAAAACTCAGATTTGGGTCGCGCTCGAAAAAGTTTAAGAACCACTGCAGTGTGTAGTCAGACAAGGATCGTAAAGACATATTCACAAGATGTTGAGTTAACATGTCAGTATTTATTTGATAGGTTTCTACAATGAAAGTAAAACGAAAAAATAGTAATTTAACAATGTGATAGACCTACAGGGATTCTAACCTCTGATCTATTACATGCAAGGACAAAAAGGGTCCGTTGATTTAACCATTTTGTAGCTAAAACCCCAAAAGAGGGAAAACCTGATTGTTATTGCCTTGTTTAATTAAACACACCAGGTGGTATAGCCATTTCTTTATGGTTAACATTACACTGCTTTTTTTATGATTCAAGCACAAATATGTAGAACAATGAATGCATTCACAAGTTAGCATAGGTCAAGGCTGGTAGAGGTAAGATCGGGCCCAAAAATTCCGACCAGACCCCGTGGGTATTAAACCCGACCCGAACTAATTAGCTGGATTTGCAGGCCCGAGCTTGAAGCAAACCCGAAATTTCATATATTATTTAAGGGGTATAAGAAGAATATTTTCGGGGGTCAGAGGTCGGGGAAAGGTCCATTACAGCTTCGTCTCTGTTTTACTCAAACTATTTTTTTTATAACAAGTTTTCCATAGTTTAGTATCCACACATAGTTTTAGTATTTTTTTTTAAGACTTATATTTATTTAAAAAAAAGTCAGCGATAGAGAATTGTCGAGTCGGGCTTCAGATTGACTCGAGCCCCACGGATCCCACCTTGATTAACAACGGAACAGAGGCCGCCACATGGACGATATTACTGAGATATAGGTATCCAAACACAACACATATAATACTTGTTCCTTCTCCTGATTAATTATTTTATTGTCTGTTATGCTGAATATCGGTTCGAAACAAACATACTCATACATTAAACCGGTCTTACTACTTACTGAATACAGCGCGAAACACCGCAAAGAGCGCAAAACAGAGGGAAACAGCGCAAAACAGCGCGAAAGGGCGCAAAACAGAGGGAAACAGTGTGAAGCAGAAAAAAATTTTGCAATGAGTTCGGGGCACCTTGTTTTGAGTTGGAGTACCACGGCAGCAAATTAAAAACACAAACCAACGTATGTAGCCAGTAATGCTGTAATGGCAGGTCTGCCCCTGTTGGTGACACATTTTGGGTACCATAATTTAGAACATTTTCCACATGGATATGGTTGGCTTTAGGGTTAGGGTTAGGTAAAAAGGGACCTCCAGAAGTATGTGCACCAAGATGGCGCACAACCTAAAAATAGTATGTGTGTGTGTAGCGGATTCAGGTTGTGCGACATTTTGCTGCACATACTTCTGGAGCACCAAAAAGGTAGATAAAATTTCGCGTGATGACCTATACTCCGGTACATAACCTTGTAAATAGCGCCATAAAACCATGGCGAGAGGCGCCGTGGTTCTTTCGTGGCAGGAGGTGGTAATGACTGCGTCTTCTGTTTTGCGCTGTTTCCCTCTGTTTTGCGCTGGTTTCCTTCTGTTTCGCGCTGGTTTCCTCTGTTTCGCGCTGTTTTGCGCTCTTTGCGGTGTTTCGCGCTGTATTCAGTAAGTAGTAAGACCCTACATTAAACCGCCATTTCAATTTTGTTTTGAAGTTTCTAATATCTTAACCAGGTTCGTTTATTTTGATCAGTGTTTGTTGAAGCTCTTTATTTCATTTGACATACTTTCATATGCCCAAAATCAGATACGCAAATTGCATCAAAGTTCTTTTACCCATTTTAATATAAAACTTCATAAATACCCGATACCTTTATTAGTAATTCCCACCTTTTTTAGTCTTTGCCGGCTGACATTTGACAGACAACTTAGCGGAAGTGGTGGCCGAAGTTGCCTGTCCTCTTTTAGCATTGTTTTGTTTGGTCTTGGTAGAACTGGATGCAGAAGTAGGAGTCTTCCGACCCCAGTTCGCTTTCTTTTGTTTGTTTGTATTCGTCACAGACTTGTTCTGGTTCTTTTTGGCAGCAGATGCCGAGCCATTTTGACTACGAGATTTTGTAATACTTGAATTTACAGTGGCAATACCTAGAAAACAAGTTGTGCTCGTTTTTAGATGTGCCGCATCGTGCTGAGTGTTAGGAATATGCTCACCACCACACCAAGTACTCTGCGTGGGTTCGCAGGCTTGAATCCTGTAGACATCTAGGATTTACCTATTCATCCCGGGAAAGAGGGAAGACAATAAGATGGCTTAACCACATGGCAAACCACGACCTCTCTTCAGGTAGTGGTAACCATTTCATGTCGGGTATGTGATTGGCAAGTTTCCAGAAGCATGGACTTGATGGTGGAGGGAGCTGCATCCAAACAGCGGTTACGTGAACCACCCTACGGCAACGAGGAGTACAGCAAGCCTCTTGCACATAATCATCCCCGCATGGTATTCGTCTCACGAACTCATGCAGAGTAATCAGAGGCTAGTGTATTCCTAACGTTTGACACGATTAGTCACATCGCCGAGCCAGGTTAGAATCTACAAGATGATATTGCCCACCACAATATTTTTGAACTGTTTCATAAATCAGTAAATAAATAAGTTCTTTTATTTTATTCTGAAATTGTTATCCAGTCTTGCTCTGCTTATCCTCAAAGCAAATGAGAATACTTCACATACCTCCATGTATATGGATGTTTATCAATGAAGCTCCACCAGCCTTACTCATATCCGAAGTGTAGTTATCAGTACCGGTACTGCAGTATCAGTCAATTTTCAGATTTTTGTGCTAAATAGATCTGAAAATATTTGTATAACCTTTATAAATGAGTGGCTAGGAATCCTAGGATATGAAATTCATATATATCCTAAGGCCTTGTTGCGAGTGGTGCACAGGACTTACTGTTAGGCTTAGAAGTACCCTCGCCATCAAAGTTAGGATTGCTGGCATCCAGTTAGGGATCATTACAAGCAGTGTTCCCTCTAAGGCAGTGGTTCCCAAACTTTTCATTCCCGCGTACCATTTTTAATTTTGTGCAGCGTTCGCGTACCACCTAAGTTACACTTGACTAGAATATCTCAAACCATAAACTATGCACCTGTAGATAAGAAAACTGAGCATGTAGCAGCATTAAGATTTGACAAATGTCATTCCAGAAAGAGATAAAAACCATAAATTAAACAAAATGAAGCCAATTAAAAATTTTAATGAGATGGATGTAGTTGTTTTTTCTCCACCAGCTGGTCAATGCGAGGAAGAGCTTTGCTGACAGCGCATCGAAAGTCATGTTCTGGCGTTCCAAGACGATTTCGGCTTTTCGATTTGATGGCCATCAAAGCCCAAAACCCTTGTTCGCACTCCCACGTAGATGGAAAAATCAATAGCTGGGAAACAGCGTGACGTACTAGGTTAGAATACGATGCTGCCATGCTCAACCAGAAATTGATTGGACAACATTCCTTATGTTTTATTTTTGCTGCCTCATCAGTTTGAATGTCTATTAGTTCTTCTTGTTCCCCGGTCCCTACAGGCACATCAAACCGGATCAATGAAAAATGGGTTGACGGAGTAAGCACAGTATGCAACATCAGGAAAGTAATTCAATAGCTCCGTCTTTAGTTGCGAAAGATGATCAATAATTTCTTTAGAAATGCCACCATCAGGATTTTTCTCAACAGAGTGAGGCATTTGAACATTCCGTAGTTTTGATTGCTAACATTCCATGTCCAGAGGTCCAGCTTACGAATGAGTGCTCTAAAGCTTTGAAATGAAATCTGTTACAGTTAGATTGGGTCCTTGAAACGACAGGTTAAAGTTGTTCAGAACTTCAAAAATGTCTGATAGATATGCCAATCTAGTAAGAAATCTTTGCTCTCCAGGTCGTTTTGAAAATCGTGATTCTTCTCCTTGAAGAATTGCAGAAGCTCATGTCGCAGTTCAAACAGGCGCCTTGTTGCATTACCACGAGAGAGCCAGCGCACCTCCGTATAGAAGAGGAGACAGCTGTGGTTAGAACCGAGATCCTCACAAAGAAGTTTAAACAACTGAGTATTCAGAGCAGATGTTTTGACGAAATTTACTAGTTTGATAACTCGGTTCAAGCATGATAACATGTTCTGAGGTAGCACTTTCGCGCATAGGGCGAATCTATGAATAAAACAATGAACAAAAGTCACGTTTTGCGCCACAGCCGTCACATGAGCTCTGAAGCCTGATTTATGTCCTAGCATTGATGGAGCTCCATCTGTTGTACAGCCAATCAACTTTCCCCAGTCCAGTTTATTCACTTTGAAAAAACTGTCTAATGCTTCGAAAATATCCTTTCCCTTTGTTGTACCTGAAAGTTCTTTGCTCATAAGTAATTCAGTTTTTACAGCCTTTTCTTGTGTATAACGAACATACACAAGTAACTGTGCGTTATTTGTTACGTCCGTCGACTCGTCCAATTGAATGGAAAAACCATACTCTGAATCTTTCACTCCTGAAATCACTTGGTCAGCAATATCGACTGACATCTCTTCTATTCTATTCTTAACCGTATTGTTGGAGAGGGGAACACTTACTAGCTTTGCAGCCGCCTCTTCACCAAGTACATTTTTTACTAACATCTTTGCAGCTGGCATAATGAGGCGCTCTCCAATGGTATGTGCTTTCTGATTTTTGCTATCAGGAGAGCGACTTCATAGGATGCCTTGACAGCACACTTCTTTCTCTGATAAATTGTGCCAGTGTTGTCGAAGCGCTGTCGTTTCACTTGCTCGCCCAGTCGCTGAAAGAAACTCTCATTTCGATCCTTCTTGTCGGGATGATTTGTGTCAAGATGTCGTTGGAGTAAGCTTGGTTTCATAGCCGAATTAGCAAGCGTTTTCATGCACACTACACATTGCGGCAAAACTTCTCCGTTGTGTTCAATAGCTATGAATCCGTACTTTATGTAAGCTGGACTGTAATTTCGTTTAGACATGTTGTCAATAGTTGAATTAAACAAAATTTCGCAATATTCACACACCGCAGGCTTTTGAAAGCAAGTACGAATAGCAACCGTACGTAGTCTGAGACGGCCGGTAAGGAGAGCGTTCCCGCCAAATATTTTGCTGACAGCATCGGTCAAAAGTCATGAAAGTTGGTAATTGGCGTTTGATCATCTTGAACAAAATAGGTGTTGCTTCATAAACGTGCGAAACCACAAATTAAAGGTAATTGAAACGCAACATTGCAAATTGTTGAAAGTTGGTCGCGTACCACCTGAAAGACTCTGGCGTACCACAGGTGGTACGCGTACCACAGTTTGGGAATCGCTGCTCTAAGGTGTGCGCGTGTGCGCGCGCACACAGCTTTCAGAGGCTGCACACACGCATAGATTTACTGCGCACAGACGTATTTCGATGTAATATAACAATGTTCTCGGTTGGCAGGTTGAGAAAGTTTGTTGTCGGCCCATCTTAGAACGCCAAAATTTTTTCATTGGTTTTTGCACAAATATTAGTCATTTCCAAAAAAGTGCGCACACACCAAAATTTCAGCGCACACATAGGATAGGATTTACATATTTATCCCGGGGGAGAGGAAAGCCGATAAGTCGGCTTATCCATATGGCGAACCACGGCCTCTCGTCCGGTTACCATTCCAAGTCGGGTATGGGATTAGTTTTTACTGTATTGTTTGTTTTTCGGAAGCATGGACTTGGTGGTGGAGGAAGCCGTAACCGACCAGCGGTTACGTGAACCACCCAACGACGGCGAGGAGTCCAGCAATCCTCTCGCACATAACCATCCCTGCATGGGATTCGAACCTGCGGACCCACGCAGAGTAATTAGAGGTGCGGTGGCGAGCGTATTCCTAACGCTTAGCCCGTTGAGCCACACCGCCGCGCCATATTTACTACAAAAATTAGAGGGAACATTGATTACAAGTATCAAATCTATTGTTGTTTTTCCATGATTTGTGTATTTTTGAAGATAATTTTTTTATCCTATATGCTTCATTGCTATATTTGCTGCTGTTATATCGTACAGCAACAAGGTGTCACTGACTAGATGACTCATTTAGTCCTTTCGCAACCCGGCGTCAATTTCTATGAATCAATGTTTCTCGTTTATTTAGTTTTACTGTGTTTTTCTTTTGCCTTCTATTGATTCTTGCATGACGAAATAAAATATCTGAATCTGTGCAGAAAAATTGATGTACCGGTATCGTACCGGTATTCGTCGTCGACACAAGGTGGTTGCAGCTACCAGTACGGTATCAGCACCGCTGGTTGGTTTTCGGTGTGACTTCCTCTACCATCAAGTACATGCATTGCAATGCATTTCAAACAAATAACTATGTAATTCACCCCATACCCAAAATGCAGTAATACGATACCGGTAGCCGGACGTCAGCCATATGTCGGGTCTAGTACCGGTTACCGTACCGTATAGTTTAGTACGGTACCACCGGTACCGGTACTTCCAGTGGGCGTAGCATAACGATTTTTGCATATGTTATTCCCAACCCTCACCTGACTATGGAGAGGGAGTGATCACTTTTTTGTGGCTTTGGGGCCAGGCCACTGAAATGGGGCCAGGCCACGGAGAAATTGGGGCCAGGCCACAGAGAAATTGGGGCCGGGCCACAGAGAAATTGAGGCCGGGCCACGGAGAAATCGGGGCCAGGCCAGGCCAGGCCATGGTGCTATGCAGTAATACGGAGCCACACTCAAATTCTGGTATGAAAAGTGGATTAGTCCTATTTTTTGTGTGTTCAACGGGTTAGTAATGATCTTGAAGGTACAGACAAACCTTATTAGTGAAAATAATACGCTTGAATCACATTTAACCGAGAATTTATTGCCTGGAAATACTGGATAGAAAATGGAGCCACAGACTTGAGCAGTTCAGTATTATGGAGCCACACTCAAATTCGTTTTGAGAAGTGGATTAGCCTTATTTTTTGTGTGTTTAACAGGTTAGTGATGATCTTGAAGGTACAGGCAAACCTAATTAGTGAAAAGAATACGCTTGAATCGCATTTAACCGAGAATTTATTGCCTGGAAACAGGATAGAAAATGGAGCCACAGACTAGAGCAGTTCAGTAATACCGGTACCGTATAGAGCCACACTCAAATTCGTTTTGAGAAGTGGATTAGTCTTATTTTTTGTGTGTTTAACAGGTTAGTAATGATCTTGAAGGTACAGGCAAAACCTTAATTAGTGAAAAGAATATCGCTGGAATCACATTTAACCGAGAATTTATTGCCTGGAAATACAGGATAGAAAATGGAGCCACAGACTAGAGCAGTTCAGTAATATGGAGCCACACTCAAATTCGTTTTTAGAAGTGGATTAGTCTTATTTTTTGTGTGTTTAACAGGTTAGTAGATGATCTTGAAGGTACAGGCAAACCTAATTAGTGAAAAGAATACGCTTGAATCACATTTAACCGAGAATTTATTGCCTGGAAATACAGGATAGAAAATGGAGCTACAGACTAGAGCAGTTCAGTAATATGGAGCCACACTCAAATTCGTTTTGAGAAGTGGATTAGTCTTATTTTTCGTGTGCTTAACAGGTTAGTGATGATCTTGAAGGTACACAAACCTTATTAGTGAAAAGAATATGCTTGAATCGCATTTTACCGAGAATTTATTGCCTGGAAATACAGGATAGAAAATGGAGCCACAGACTTGAGCAGTTCAGTAATATGGAGCCACACTCAAATTCTGTTATGAGGTGTGGATTAGTCTTATTTTTTGTGTGTTTAACAGGTTAGTGATGATCTTGAAGGTACAGGCAAACCTTATTAGTGAAAAGAATTCGCTTGAATCACATTTAACCGAGGTTCATATATAGGTTATAATATATATAGGTTCATAGTTTGTATATTTGAAAATCTCGTAATTCTCTACTTTTTAAGTTTGTTTTTAATAAATAAAAATATAAGATATCCCCCGAAAATAAGCCCTAGTGTTATTTTTCGGAAGAAAATTGAAATGAGACCCAGTCTTATTTTTGGGGAAACATGGTATATCTGTATATGGAGCCATACTTGATTTCTGTTATGGAGATGATTTTGTATTTTTTTTTTTCATGGTTTTCAACAGGTTAGTAAAGATCTTCAAGTTACAGGTAACCATAATAGTATGAAATCATGTTTGACTGTCTGAAAAGTAAATACTTTGAAATTTGTTGCCGGGAAGTGCAGTTTAAAAAGTGGATTCATACAGCGAGGTGATTCGGGGACGCAATGTCTGAATGTTGTCGGAAGTGGAATAGTCATAGTTTTTATTTCATAACAGGTTTGTAATGATGGTTAAGTTACTTTACAACAATAGTACCATAAGATTTGTTTCACTTTTTGGGGAATTAATGTTTTTTGTTCAGTATATATGCTGATATGAGTAATGATCGCAGTGAAACAGATACTATACGATAACTGAGGAATGTATACAAGAATTAGGCTGTAAGAAGCTGGTATCATATCAATTTGATCATAGATTATGAATATGAAAGCTAATTTGTAGTTTACATTTACCAGGTTGGGAAAAATATTTCAAGCTTATCTTACTCAAACTATTTATAAGTAATACTCATATCAGACTATACATTTTAGCCTAATATTACAATGTATATTATTTATTAGATAACATTAGCTGGCGCACTGGATTTTTCATTTGAGACTGGTTTTGGGGGAAGCTTTGATTCACACTTTTATATTCGTTAGTCATTCAAATGGTTTGAGTGGAGATTTAAGTATATATTTGTTTTTGAGATTGTTCTGCAATGTTTTACGGTTGTGACAAAGCTAGAAATACTTATTAATATTCCTTATATTTTTATATCCACCTGAAGCATGCATAACATATTTGTATTATATTCTTGTGATGATTACTACTACATACATAATTGGATCTGCTTTCAGGGATTGTTTAAATTGATAATGAAAACAGGAATCAAGCGAAAAAGTTTTTCCGAGAAGAACTATATTCCGAACGAGATTCCACTACAAAGATTAAATACTAAAATAGATGGAATAGTATAATGGTAAGATTTGGTATTATTTGCCTTGATCACATCATTGTAACAATAACTGTACAGATGAGACCTGAATACAATCTCCATGGTTAAATTTTTTTGTTCCAGTCAAGATTGTGTCTAATAGTCAAGTCTGAATTTTGTACATTTGTTTTCCTAAAATAACATTTGCAAGTTCTTTCACAATTTTTCTTGACTATTTGCTATTTTTATGCTGTATTTGGAAAAATTTCATTGTCAAGAGATGTTCTCGCAAGATGTTTTTTGCAAATGGTGTTCCCTATTAAGCACTCTTTTTTTATAAAAGTGTAAGATGTGAATTTTTTGCCACTATTGGTTTCATTTTTAAATATTGCCTCAATCACTAAGCATTGTAAAGAAATACATGTAATGCCTAATATGTATTAATTGTATCACATGATAAAAAATTGTTCAGTATGGCTTTAACAAATAACATAATCTCAGGTGCTCACGTCGTAACGACATGCAAACAGTTGTCGCAGTTTCCATGTTATTGATTTTGCTTCTCCAAAACATCGCGTACATAAAACAATAGAATGACGTGGAATTGGCAAGTGTGGTATTATGATTGCTCGAAGATTTATTCAGATTCTACGTACCTCAATGTGAGTTTGACGTATTGTTTGTACTGAGCTTTATAGCAGGACATAGGCAACAATAAGTAAAAACAGAATAGAATATAAAAATTGGCCCATTCCATTTGTTTCCTAACTTAATGAGTTTTTGATAATGAAGTGATCTGCGATGTATACAAATCAGGGATGGACCAAGCAGTCTTTAGTCCAGGGGTTCTCAACCTGGGGTTCGCGAAAAGATTTCAGGGGGTACTTGGATGGCAGTCGAGTTTTTGCGTGTTGCTGTTTTTAATATCCTTTATTACTACCAGAGGAAAATGCGTGCCGATTGAAACTGGATGCCAATTGAAACATAGATTTTCCCTGATCTTGCGTTGTTGTGATTGTGACGTAAACAATGTGAAATTCACAGAAAATACAGCGTGCTGCGAGCACTGGAGAAAGTGATATCCTTATTGAAACTTGAAAGGGATTTCAAGAATTTATTAGTTAGGGCAATATTAGTAACAGGGAAATTAAATTTAGTTTTATCTGGTCAATAAATTGTTGTTTCAACAAATTGTTAATCGATATATCACAACTTTGTTCGGTGTCACATTACTGGGGGTTCACGTTGATTGTTTCGTGCCTCGGGGGGGGGGTATTTTGCAGAAAAAAGGTTGAGAACCCCTGGTCTAGTCGAATAAACACCATTTTTATTGAATCTTCGTTAGATTTGGATTGAATAGTTGACAATGATAAAAATGATGTAATAATTCTATATGAAACCTACATACTTCCTTCTGTTAGATAAATTTCATCCCATATTGTTGCTAACAACCGTGCCATAAAACCCCACTCCCTAATATCACTACCATTTAATTTTTTGTTTTACCTGTATTCTCAAAATGGTGTGCAGGATTAAAAAGTATTTATTGGCGAAATAGGTATTTTGATTCCCAGTACTGTAAAATAATAAACCACTCAAGTCATCAAGAATTTTAACATAATTTTCTTGTTTTTATAGCTTGGAGAGAAGAAATTATATCATGGTGTCTGCTATGATGACAACAATACGGACTCTATATAATTTTGGTTTTATATTGTGTAGGAGATTACTCAACCTTACCAGTGTGGTTGCTAAAAACAAATTTGAAAAAATACCAAATTGAATTTTGCGAATTTTCCCTTTGAATCTCTAAACCAGTTCCAGTCAAAAGAGTTACAATTTCCTTGTAATGATTATCTAATAAGCGTTTGTTACTACTTTTTACTTTTCCGATAGTATCTATGATGACTTATATTGAAAAAACACAGTTCTTATGATTGAACATTATCCCTGATATTCATTACGTGTAATATAATTGAAGTAATTATCGGTAATAGGTAACGTCTTAAGACTGCTAACAAAAAGGACTCCCTCGAGATGAATCTTATTTTAAAAAGAGTATGTTGGGAATCCGTGCCAATCTGGTGTTTGCAATTTTTTTTTGCATATTTTCAATAAATGAAACAGTTAATCAACTGGTATGCATGATCTTGTTTTCTGTTAGGAATAATGTATAACGGAGAAGAGTAGTCTTTTTTTGCATGTGAGTATTGGGATACTAGTGCTTGTGATAGCGTATACCCAGCTACCGATATGTGTGCCTGCAATTTGTATTACAAATCTAAAACATCTTAGCGTGTAAACCCCTGTCAATTGCCTATTGCAATACAGGTAGAACTACACAATTTATCAGTACGGGACTTCATTTAATAATAGCATTTGAGTCACTGGTGGAATTATTCACTGATCTATTAACCATGTATTGTATGAAAATAATTAAATAACAACACATATTCGCTAAAAAAAATTAACAATCACAAAAAGGTATGCAACAAGCAATAAATATAACTTATTTCACTGAGTTTTTTTTAACATATAGGCACCAGTTCACGCTACAGTAAAAAGACAATGAATGCGGTGAGGAATATAAATGTATAAATACGGTGACAGTAGAAACACTACAATAATGTATCGCTCGCAATATACCCCCTCACATAAGTAATACATTGGGTGAGCGAACACGTACTACTTCTTTTATCAATACCTTTCCATCTGAAATATGTTGGCTTCAAACTTTACTTGAGGTTTTGTTTGCTTTCCCGATTCTATAATCAGTTACTTTATCATTTGTTTTTATCTCTTATTTTATCGTCTATTGCTGATTATGGAGTCGAAATAAACTTATACCTCTACATTTGTAATGAGTAAGTGTTCGAATACAGCATTTTCCCTGGTTGTAACATACGATACGGTTCAATTGTACAAGTACCGTACATGTCTTAACATTACCAGTTTCCACATCACTTATAAACAAAAATATAACTAAACAAATACGGATGTCTTAACATTACCATTGCGCTGGCCTGGCCCCATTTTCTCCGTGGCCTGGCCCCAATTTGTCCGTGGCCTGGCCCCCTTTTGTGTGGCCTGGCTCCAAAGCCACAAAAAAGTTATCACCCCTGTTGTGACTATGCCATCCAAAAATTACGTCACTACAACGTCACCATCACGTCATAGGGATTGCCGAAGTATAATTACGATCGCCCGAAATGGCATCTGCGCCGCCGATAAGAACTTGCTAAAGCCCGCGATCTCTCTCCTATCGTGATCGTTGCGACGAGAAAACGAGAGAAATAGCTTGCTCGATTTCGGGTTATCGTCTGCGCGTTTTGGACGACCATCCGCATACTTCGGTGGGCCTTATTACGCCACTGTGACGTCGGAATGACGTAATTTTTCGGTGAAGTAGTCAGGTGGGGGTTAGGATTGACATATGCAAAAATTGGGTCTGGTATAGTTTAGTACCACATCCACTTCTAGTTGGCCTGGCTCAACAATTTTTGCATATGTCAATCCTAACCCCCAACTGACTACGTCACCGAAAAATTACGTCATTCCGACGGTTTTGTTTGCTCTCCTGTTTCCACAACCAGTTTTTGTTTATTTGTTTTTATCAATCATTTTATTACTTGCTACGCTGATTATGAAGTCGAAATAAACTTATAAATGAAAAACAAAAATTACAACAATATAATAATAGAGCTAAAAGTGCATAGTTATTTTCATCGATTGCATACATTGAAAAAAAATAATGGAAAGCAAATTGCATAATCGGTCTGTAAAAACTAAAATAGGGTAAATAATTGAAATCAAAGTTAACAGGAAGGAAAAAGAGATGGTAGGAACCATTATAATGCACAAATCAGCCCAAGCTCAGAAATTTGTAAAAAGGGGACACTTAAGCTACTGAACAGCCATCTGGAACTGTCTGTTTCTTGCTTCTCTTTTTGCGGCCGCCTTTCGTTGCCTTCTTCTTTGCGTGATCTTAAAGAGCAAATGTTATTATTAAAGGAGAGATGGGAAAATGAATTATGCATTTTGGGGTCACATTGACTCAACAGGTGGAGCGTTAGACCAGCACTTCTACGTACAACTTCTATCTTATATTATGTGCGTTTTTAAACCTTAAATAAGGTTTTGTTTGCTTGCCTGATTTCCATAATCAGTTTTTATTTATTTGTTTTTATCAATCATTTTATGTTTATGCTGATTATGGAGCCGAAATAAACTTATACAGTCACAAATTTTATGCACTACCGAGTCAAATTAATTCCTATGAAGCATTGCCACATTAAACTTAATTTACAACACTTCTGTTTCTGTGTTAACTACACTTAACACCAGGCAGGCACACTCCTAAAGTAAACAACAAACACCTGACATGTACTTCCTCATTTGCTAATAACTACAAAATGAATGCTGTATAATCCCAGGGAGAGGAAAGTCGATAAGACAACTTAATCATATGGTGAACCACGGCCGCTCGTCCGGTTACCAGTAGGGCTGGGCATTTTCAAATCGGTTCGAAGCTAAATTTCGAATCGCCGCCGAATCTTGTTTTTTTGTTTCCGCCAATGGTCGAGGTGAATTCCTCAATTATTTTTTCATTGAAGTCATATTTTTTCAACGCAATTCTAACATATGACTATTTTCTGTAGTGAGTTATTGTTAAAGCGTGTTGTTATTGTGTGTGAACGCTCACAATCTATCTGAGTGATATATTCTATGTCCTCAGTAATTTATTTGTTAAGAAGACTAATTACTATAATAAAGTCGCTTACAATTATATATTTCCAAGTATTCGAGATTCGATTCTGAAATCACAAGATATTCGAAAATGCCCAGCCCTAGTTACCAGTCCATGTCTGGTATTGGATTAGTTAGAGAGTTATTTTGTTTTTGGAAGGCATACATCCGCGAACACTGCATTAGACTGGCAGTGCAGGTTACACAGCTCTGGTTTAAATCCCACGCCCACCTTCTCACTCAGTGTGTAATAAACTGAGTAGGCAATGCCGAAACGTGAGATTCCGTCCAGTCTTTCAAAAATAGTAACTCTGTAGTATACATATTGATAGATATAAGTCAGTAGCTTCTTATACATCGCCTTGTTCAGCGCAAAAAGCCTGAATAAGTGTCGTACAAAAAATTGAGAATGCCCAAATGACAAATTATTCATAGATTAAAATTAACTATCTCAGATTGATGATTTTAGAAATAATTTTGACATCTTTATTTAAAAAAACCATCATTTTCAGTAATTAAATACTCAAATACTCCACACGGCAACCTGATGGTGTTAATTGTTAGGAATATGACTGTTATCGCCTGGTGAGTAGGGTTGGGCAATTTTTCAAATACCTGATGATTTCAGAATAGAATTAAATATTTTTTTCCGAATTGAATCTTGAATACTTGAGAGATAATTGTATGCTACTCTTTTATTAAATTGGTCCTGTCAACAAATGAATTACTGAAAACATAATGAAATTACATCTTTCATATAGATTGTTGAGCGTTTACACACACAAAAAAAACACATTGTATCAATAACTCACTACAGAAAATAGTCATAGGCCATGTCAGAATTGGGTTGAAAAAATATGGCTTCAATAAAAAAATTCACCCAGACCATTGGCAGAAAAAAAAAATATGATGAGGGCGATTCGAAAATTTGCTCTGAACCGATTCGAATAATATAGTACATGGCGGTCCAAGGTTGTCGGCTCCGCGGGCCACAAATTTATTTTTTCATTGTTCGCGGGCCACAATAGTGCCAAGAATAGGTAAACAGTGCAATACAAAACAAACCCTTTTATTGTGCAAACACATAGTTATCAGACATAGCCATCCCGGGCTAATAGAATCCGCATTCGATTTTTATTTTTCAATGATGCCTATATTGTTAGCATATATTCCTGACCAAAAAGATAGAAAGCCAGATAAAAATTTAGACTGCCAAGCACATCATTCAACTTCGCTATTTGCTTCAGCTAGCCATAACACTAGTCAATTCAGTGACATTAGTGTCAAATATATATATCAATAATATGTAACAATATGTTTTTTCAATTAATTGCGATTTATTGATTACTCACAGAATGTGACGCGGGCCACAGATAATGAAGCAGCGGGCCACATGTGGCCCGCTTGGACCACCCTGATATACTATTTGATTAGAAATGCCCAGCTCTAGCGGCCACCACAGCTTTACTACTGAGATATGGGAATTCTATCCTAAACACAACACATAATATACTCACTTCAATAAACCTTATTTACGTTTTTTTTTTCCTGGTTTTATATTCGGTATTTATTTATTTGTTTCTATCAATATCTTATCTATAGAGTCAAAATAAGCCTCTAGTCATACAGTGTGTTCATAAAGCCCGGTATAATTTCAATTTTGTTATGAAGTTAGTTCTCAATATATTTCAACCCGGTTTAATTTTTATCAGTGTTTATTTATTGAAGTTATTTGCTTTATATAAATAATAAACCTTTATGAGTTACAAACAATTGCAACCAACCATAAGTTACACAAATCGGTATTCTTTTACCTAATTCAATACACGACTTCATGAACACACTGTATATTCGTTTAGTCATTCCTACCTTTTTTAGCCTTTGCCGGCTTACGTTTGGCAGACTCCTTAGTGGAAGTGCTAGTCTGTCCTATTTTAGCACTGTTTTGTTTGGTCTTGGCTGGCCTAGATTTGGCTGTTTTTACTTTGCTCTGTTTAGCAGATGTAGTAGAGGCCGTTCGATTCGCTTTTCTTTTTTTGGCTGTATTTGTCGTGGCCCTTTTTTGGTTCGTTTTGGTTGCAGATGTAGAACCATACCGACGGCGAGGATTTGTAATTTTTGAACTCCCAGTGGCAATACCTAGAAAACAAGATGTTCATACTTTTGAGCTAAATAATTTTTTAACGTCTTCAACTAGGAAATTGCCAATTCCTTAGCCTACTCTTTCTTTCGCACATTCAAGTCACAGAAATTTCAAAATTATCTCCGGTCCGGTTACCATTACATGGGTATGGGATTGGTTAGGTATTACCGTATTTCTTCTCAGAAGCATGAACTTGATGGTGGAGGAAGCCGTAACTGACGACCGGTTACATGACCCCCCCCCCCCCCCCTGCGGCAGTGAGGAGTCTGGTAATCCTCTCGCACATAACTATCTCCGCATGCAGGCATGGGGTTCAAACCTGCGAACCCACGTCTGCACATAGAGTAATCAGAGGTGCAGTGACGAGCGTATTCCTGGCGCTTAGCACGATGAGCCACGCCTTCTGCTCTTGAATCCCACCACTGCTCGTATATTGAGACACAGTAACACACAGTGCCATGTGTTAAGTTGTCTAGACCAGGGCTACTCAACTAGTTTTGTCGAAGATCCGCATACAAAACTTCAAAAATATTTGGGTCCGGTATTTCCAGAAATTATATTTCGCATTTTTAAACAGGCATTTCCTCGGCCGACTAATGATTATTAGCTAATCAAGATTGTTTATTATGGCGTTATAGTTCTTTTCATATATATTTAAATCTATAAAAGTGATTTTATAAAAGGAAACTTCAAAAGTGGGGCTAATGATTCAAAATAAAGAATTAGGCGCGGTCCGAATCGAATACCCTAAAGGTCCTGATTCGGACCGCGGTCCGCCAGTTGAGTAGCCCTGGGTAGACCCAATGGGATTGCCCATAAACAATGAATTTTTTATCTTTTTTTTTGTACTGTACCGGTAGTCTGTTTTTCTTACCGGTACCGGTACACTATTATCCAGTCTTCGGACAGTAGGATGAGATTTACATATTTATCAGGGAAAAAGCAGTCGTTATTCGTATTGGCGAACCATGGCCTCTCATCCAGTTAAGAGTCATATCAGGTACGGTATGGGTTTAGTTAGCCAGTTATTTGTTTTTAAATGCATGGACTTGAAACTCTGTTTGTCTAGGACAGGATAGTAATACCAGGTACGGTACCGGTACTGGTACGGTACCCGAAAATTTTGTAAATGAAAATACTTCACATACCACCCTGTACATTGATGTTTATCAATGAAGCTCCACCCGCCTGACTCATATTCAAAGTGTATTTCTTCGTCTTTTTTACAATATCGGTAAATTTTTATTTTATGTAATAACTCTAAAAAGTAATAAAATCAGTTTAAGTTCATTTCAGCTCCATAATCAGCATATCTGAGAATAAAATGATTGATGAAAACAAATAGATAAAACTGAAAATATGATCCAGGATGAAGTCACTGGACAACCTGACAACAGGCCGTGGTGCACCACATACGATTATAATTAAGGTCATCTCTAGGCATTTTACGTATATCCTTTAAATTTGCATAAATAATTAATCAATATATTTGAATGCTCTCATGCAGCATATACAAATGGGTTAATGTACCGGTACAGTGCTTGGGGGAAATCAAAATAAAGATTGTTATTATGATCCCTTTCTTTAGAATGCTGTTTCTATGGACCTTCCCCCGACCTTTGACCCCAGAAAAATTCTTCATATACTTTACCATTGCAAAATTTTCGGGGCTATTTTGAGAGTGCTTTTGCGAGTTGGCGCCATTCCTCAATGGTTGGCGCCCGTAAAATGGGGTATCCGTTTCAAACCATCATTATGATTCATCGCATACAACAATCTATTTTTTAAAAGTACCGGTAAAGAGTTTTAGCCTAGTCTATCACAGCTATTTTTACGCTAATTTTTTATTACTGCAATTAAATTAAAAGATCAAATTAAATAAAGATCAAAATTACGCTCCTCTATTCTCAAAACATCGCCGTATAAAATGCGAAAAGACGGACAACTCACCAGAGACCAGACCTCTCTGTAGTCGAGTTGTTCGTCAGTCGCGAGGGGCGTATTTTAATATGTAGTGTTTTTTTTGTTGTTGCTGTAAGCTTTTTTAAATTAAAATGAGATGAGACACTGTCTTATTTTCGGGAAACACGTTAATGAGAAAGTAGAATCAGGAAGGAAGCAATACTGTTTATTGTAGAGCAGGGCAGAACCAACGAGGTTTTTAAATTACCAACACTTCAAGAAAATCACATCATTTGATCTAAATTACGAAACTCTATGGAGGAATGGTATGGGATGTTTTGGCGTGCCAAATTGGCACAAATATTGTATTTAATTACTTGGACATAACTAAAGACTAAAATATGTTAAGGACATTGCAGCATGACGGCATCATAATAGGACATATGGGTGGTGTGTGTGCCAGGTTGGTGTAAGGCCGTAATGCCAGGTACAAATACTACGAGAGTCAACTAACTAATCCCATGCAGAACGGGACGAGAGGCCGTGGTTCGCCATGGTTGAGTCGTCTTATTGGCTTTCATCTCCCTGGAGAAATATGTAAATCCTATCCTATGATCAGGTTTAGTATATACTGTATAGGGTTACCATAGGTGAAGTACTATCCGAATCAGGTAAGTTTAACATTGGAAATATAATTAGTTTTTTTATTTATCCCAGGTGAGAGGAAACACGATAATACGGATTAATCAAATGGCAAACCACGGTCTCTCACGGTTATCAGTCTATGTGGTGAGTGATAATAGTTAGTCATTTGTTTAGGAAGAATGGACTTGATGGTGGTGGTAACCGACCAGTTGTTACGTGAGCCATTCTACGACGGCGTGGAGTCGAAGCAATTGAACATTGATAATTTAGGGCTCCCGAAGTATGCGAACCAAGATGGCGGACATCTGAAAGTAATATGTGTACTAGGTTAGGGTTAGGCCATAATTTTAGGTATAAATACTACGGGAGACTCTTGGCTAGTCTTCGAACTAATAATAGGACTAAAATAAGGAAAATTGGAAAGAAATTATCGCCTAACCCTAACCTGTTACCCATGTTACGTTCCGATGTCCGCCATCTTGGTTCGCATACTTCGGGAGCACCGATAATTTTCCTGCATACAATCCCGTTTGAGAAACTAAATTACATTGTTTTTGCATGACGAAAATAAATGTCTGAATTTATAGACTTGAATTATTGCTAAAAATCTGGGTGCTCCGGAAGTAGGTGCATCAAGATGACGCACAACCTGAACCCTGACTTGGTACACCTACTATGTTCAGGTTGTGCGCCATCTTGGTACACATACTTCAGGAGTACCAAAATCTGAAATAAAAATTGAACTGGGTCATAGTAACTTTAATGCGGTCAAAGAACGATGGAGATGTTTCAGGCAATAAAAGTCCTGTTACCAGTCCATGTTGTTAGCCAGGTATTTGTTCACTTGGTGGTGGAGTAAGCCATAGTGTAGCAATCCTCTCTCGTACGGGATTCTAACCCGCGCTGGGTTATCAGAGGTGCGAGCATATTCCTGAGCATGATGCGCCACAGTCTTCTCATACTGTTTTAAAGCTCTAAATCTGATTTCAAATATTCATGCGTGTCAAACTGTGTCAACTGGCTGATAAAACAATAATAAAGAAAATCCACAAATAACAACTATGAAATTGATTTAATGAGCAAGAGTTTTAATAGACAAGGCGACCACTTCAAAACATAGGTTATACGGTTAATGACAGTAAATGAATAATATAAGCAATAATAAAAAGTAAGAACTCTTTGTCGTTATATCATTCAGTCCGTCAACGTAGTTCTGTCAGGTTTTATATCTCACAGATGACACCGTTGCGTGTCCAGGATGGTGGTGTATTGGACATTCTCTGATATTTATTCTTTGGATCGTTATCGACACGAACAGCAACATTTGTGTTCAATGCATCGGATTTCGGATAGGTAGGAAACCAATCTTCGGTTGCTATAGTGATTGGTTCTCCACTTGACAGAAAAAGCTGATTGTTCTGTAACAATTGAATAAACGATTTCAAAATTTGTTCGCAACTGACATATTAGATGAATGATGAAAATAGTTGCTTTCAGTAATGAGTTTTATAGTAAAGGTAGTCATAGACGAAGTATGCCAAGTGATGTGTTAAGAACTACGTGAAAATGAGTGAAATTACTGAAAATATCACAAATTCTGAAATATTCTATATTGGGTTTTTCTAATTATCCAATCTATTATTAAATCATAAGGCATCGTTATTAACCTGCCCATTATTTGGAAATTTTATTAGGCCTACGCCAGCTCCTTCACTCATATGAGATTGGTATTTACGCTAGCGCGCTGCTAAAAACAAGCTTTGAGCCAACCTTGAACCCGGTGTAGTTTACAAAAATGAGTCAAACTCTGCTGAGGCTGTGATCTATTAACTGACCTTATACTCCATCCCAGTCCAGATGCTCAACGTTGTCTTACCAGCAGGAATTAGTGAGCGCAGATAAGTGAGCAACAACTTGAGATGCTTCTGATCGTATATGTTCGCGGGTTTTCCGTATTTCATTGATTTACAAATGACTTTGCCATCGTTGACGGTGACGTTCAGTACCGTATACACAACTACTCGGAAGCACTTTGACTTGTATGTGACGTCACATTTAACTGAAAACAACATTATTGCTGTCATTAAATATTTTATAATAAAAAAGACAAAGCAAATTAAAATCGAATATAAAATTGTGTCGGTTTTATGAGACCTCAGAAATATTGTATTCATATAATAGCAGATATAGAAAGAGTAGCCACTAAAACTAACTAACTATACTAAAGCGGCAAATTAAATTTGTTTCAGATGTGAGAATATATGCCAAGTTTAGGTGCAAGGTTGGTGGACGAAGACGTAATCGCAAGTGCAGTTTCAAGTATTTTGTGGCGTCTAGAGCTGCCGCAAAACCATTTCCAAACCATGGCCGCTATGACCAAACCCACGGCGACTGACTTTTTAGCTGCCACAAACCAATAGCGAGCTGCCGTGGTTAGGGCAGCAAATCGAATACCACCAATTTTTCTGCCGTAACCACGGCATGTCGGCTGTAATAGCAGGGCTGCCCCTGATGGTGATAAATATTGGATAAGTTGGAACGCTTTTCTTATGAATACAGTTTTGATGTATTTGGGGTTAGGTTTAGGTTTAAGTAGATATAATTCCGCATGATAAACTAAAATATTGTACATGACTTCGTATAAATACCGGTAATAGCGCCATAAAACCATGGCAAGAGACGCCGCGGTACGTTCGTGGCAGGAGCTGCCATGAAGTGGTAAGAACTGTTCCCCCGTAATCGGCTAGTGGTTTAATCACCCAGTGTCCAATGCTTGAAATATTTTGTAAATAAAATGCTAGTGTTCTGACGGGCGAGAAAGATTTTGTAGTCAAATTATCAAATCAGAGAAATGAAAATACCTTGAGCTTTTTTCTTTTCGTCACGACTCCTCTTGATCAATCTGGCGATTTCTGTAACAAAAATTGACATATTTTATTTTTGTGTACGGTAAGGTGTTTTTAAATCATTTTTCGGCGCTCCGGACGTATTCGTTCAGAATGTGCGCTATCTTAGTACTTGGGTGACGACCGTAACTAACTTTGCTTATCGTAATATGGCAACACTATATAAACATCGCAGAAAAATACATTTTGCAAAGTGTGAACCAAATCATTTAAGTAACAGGGATTGTCGTGAATAAATTTTACTAAACTTCGTTTCCAAGCGAAAAATGAGAGGACTTGTTGGTAAGAGCGCTGAAACTTAGCGCTATGTTGGCGTCGTTGGTTAAGAATATTAGACTCGATGCCCGGCACTGAGTGTGATAAATTGAATTTGCAATGCCAGAGCAAAAATGTTCCGGGATTTGAGGAATGGTAGCTCAAAACTACCAGTTGCTTCCTGAGCTATATTCGAAAGAGAGATGATCTAACAAAAAAGTACTTTGATAAGCTTACACAATAAACGATAATTTTAGAACTATTGTGTTATTATGACTCAAAAGTCTGTCGAACGTTTTCAATCACGAAAGTATTTTTCCAACATAATATATATCACGAAGTAGGGCGAACTCACCGGAGCCATCGTCTTTCTGTGAAATAAATATAAAATGAAGATGATTATTAAAAGGATTATAACACGTTGTTTTAGATTATATTAGTTGCGTGTCAAGCAAAATTCGAATTAGCCTCAACGATTTGGGATTTAAATATTGAAATAAAATTATAAATTGTTTGGACTGATGGCCCGGTACTTTGAGCGTCGAGCCTAACAGCTTGTTCTAAGCCTTATTTAGACAGTTTAGGAAATGCAAGATGAAAATTCCAGATCCAACTGTCCTTGCCCAGTAGGCTACATGGTATAAAATTGGGAATGCAGTTCTGGAAACAAAGCTTTGAGAACTCCGAAAAATAGTAGTTTTATACCTAACAGTGATTTCTATCCAAAGCCTTGCTCAGAGTCAAATAGTAAATAATAAAAAAAACTTATAAAAACTTAAATCTTACCTTGCAATCTCCAACCTGGACAAGTTTTCCATTCACGATTTTGGAAACGCAGGATCCAGCTGTCGAAAAAAATAGGAAATTGAATATAACGAAATCTTGGGCGAAAAATTATGGGTACCACGTTCCGGTGTCCGCCATCTTGGTTCAAATATTTTGGGAGTACCGAATTATAGGCGTTGAGAGTGATATCTCTCTATAAAAATTAAGGAATCTCCAATATTTCACAATCGTGGTACCAGAAGCCAGCGGTGGAAAAAGTGTATCAAGTAATTGTGTCCGAAACAAATCTTACCCGGTACTTTTAGTTCCGCAAATAAGCCATAGATGAGAGAGATGAACAAAATAATTTTAACGAAGTCCATGTTTGCTTTTAGAAAGGTTTGATGACACAGCTAAATGCTTAGATATAAAGTAAATAGCTGTAAAAATGGTTATTGCATGGTTAGTACCGTCATAATTAGCTGTTTTAATTGGCATTTTCGAAGTAAGTTTTGTGGAAAAAACGCAGTAATATAAAATAATATTTGAGTCGAGGCTATGAGGCAGACTATTAGTTGAGGCACAACTCAAACAATTTAGAGTTAAATATAGCTCTGAGGTTTTTCATTTTGATTTACACGGCTCGTGAATTTGAATGGCTCTGCTTGACTTGCGCATGATCCAACGAATTAGCCTGGACGAACCACAAATATAAAACATACTTTGCTATTCTGACGACTATAAGCTACCTTGGCAATATTTACCCAAAACTCAAGATTTAGACAATCCTGTCACTACAGTATTTAATTTATAATTTCTAGTCGTCATACCTCAAGTCGTTCATGTGATACAGGACATCGAGAGATCTTTGTTTACGCATCTTATCGCTGTTGTTTTCTACATAAAACGCCCTTCTCATGCAGCAACCATATACGTCATTTCCTATTCCCATATCGAAATTTTTCGCGGACGAAAATTTATCCGAGTCATCCATTGTGATTGTACAGGAAAAATCCAGTTAGCGTTATCGCCGTGCATTTTATGGGACATCGGAATTTTCTCGTTTTGCGTGATTTTCCAGTGCTTCATTTGTTGCGTAATTCGTGAGGATATCAGCATAAGATGTGCCCTTGCAAAAGATCAAGACAAAATAACCACCCGGTTTAGCCTCCACACAATTGAAGGAAGGTACCTTCATAACGTCCGCTAATGAAATACCTAGATGTGTAGATGTTCCATAAATTTATTTTAATTTTTAGGTTAATCTGCAAAAAAGCTGTGTTCTGAGCAAAGATGTGTTGCCTCTCACGAAAACAATTTCTAAATTAATCAATTTTAAATAACCTTTCCTTTGACCCAAGAAAAATCCGAAATGCGAGTGGTGGCGATTTAAAATATAAAGTAACTTTATTGTCGTTCACATGCCTTAAAGCTCAGTTCTCCATTTCTGTAAAGATAAAGATCATTGTGAAAGATGCTTCTTTCTATCTGTTGCAGCATGTCAATCCTAGTACGAGATCTATTGGCAGGAGTGGCCAACCCGCGGCTCTCGAGCACCATGCGGCTCTTTTCGCTTTGGTTATTCTAAGAAGAAACTTGCTGACTACGATTCATCACGTTTCGATGGTCATATTTATGAATCATAGTTCATTCTTCTTTTAAGTCGCTTAAAAGCGAGCGCTTTCATTCAGTTCACCATGCAATCGACCATTATCTCGCCATAATAGTATTAGTTGGTGTGAGAACCGTTTATTGAACTGCAACGACTGTCTTACTCGTATAGGAAACGAAGTCCGGCGGCAACCGCGTAGATTACCATTTGACGGAAGTAATCGAAATGCAGAAAAAACGTTTCGTCCTTGCTAGGGTAGCAAAGTTGGGGGTAAAATATTTATCTCATATCACTACTGGTAACTCTGAAGAGGTATCATCTGAATTCAAATGTAAGTAGTTGAATATAACAGTATCCTAGTTCTGTAGTTTTTGGGTCAGTTTATCAAATAGGACATGCGGACCGAGCATAAAAACTTCATGAACTAGTTGTCTTTGTATTAGTATATTTAAATAATTTGTGTTCGCCCTGAAAATGGTAGGAAAAAAAATATGAAGATGAACGCCGGACGTTTTTAACAGAGTGGGAGAGCATATATCTTTTGTTGAACGTAATGGCAAACCATTCTGCCTTATATGTCAGGTATCGCTAGCGCATTTCAAATCCTCAATCCTCAGCGCCACCTCACTCCATGATAACATGACCATGAATTTCCGAAGGGTAATCAATTTGATAAGTCAAGCTGAAAAGCAGAAACAGTTTTTCCATAATTTCATAAAGCACTCAGAGACTGTGGCGCTTGCATCGTATCAATCCGCTTGGAACATTGAACGAAAAGGTCATACACTAAACGGGAAATGAAATTGTGACCTTCTTGAAATATTGTCTCCTAAAAACAAAAATGGTATCAAGATGTTGAACACGGGATAACGGTGATTAGTACGTTTATAAAATCACAAAAGCACCCTGACTTTCACAAATGCGGGTATTTTAGTGTCGCATTAGATGAGAGCTGTGACATAGAAGACAAGCTTCAATTGGGAATATTCGGAAGATCTGTTTCAAAAGATTGTTCAATCAAGAAAGAACTTATTGATATCGTGACATTAAAAGACAGGACCCGTGGCATAGATGTGAAAAAGCAATAATGGCTACATTTGAAAAAGCAAATCTGCCCAGATCAAAAATAGCAGCAATAAACACGGATGGTGCGCCAGTCATGATCGGATGTGTAAACAGACTTGTGGGGCTGTATCATTATTACTGTATCATTCACAGGGAGCAACTCGTGTCTAAGTCGTTGAATTTGGACAACGTCACGAAGACTATAATAACAAGAGAGCTGTGCTCAAATATATGGACACGTCACAACGTGTCGCTATTTTTTATTCCGACACATAAAAAAACGAATCTCTTGAAGTCCACAGAAAATTTTGAGTAATTTAGAAAATACCCTTCTGGCAAAAAAATCAATCGTTAACCACTGAAAATTGGTCCAGTATTCGAAGAGAAAAGCAACCTCATCATGGCGGAAGAGAAGAATAATACTAACAAGAACAACAACATAATATTGAAACGATCGTTATGTACACTGACGTGTCCAAAAATCGTTAAATGCGGATGAGAACATCTGCACGCATGCGCTTAACCACCGGGAATTCAGCAATCAGATTACTGAGCTGGATCAAGGGCTTTCTGGTGACCTGTGAAGCTGTTCATGAAAGAGAACTATCCCGAGCGCTCGGACCTCGAGTGGATTATGGATCTGGACTTTTTGGTGGACATGCTGTGTAACTTGAACAGACTGAACCTGAATTTGCAGGGCAAGTTAAAAAATCTGCCCGACCTATTGCAAGGTGTGTTTTCGTTTGTTAATAAACTGAAGCTGTTCAAGGCGCATATTCCAGGAAGGAAGTTAACCAATTTTCCCACTCTGCTAAATGCCAGCGGGCAAGACACTATAAGGGTTTGTATAGACCCATTTAATTCTGGGATTTATTTGCACTACTAATCATAGTGTATTATTATTGATATTCCTCACAGTTGTCATTGTGATTCAATGTTTAAGTTACTGCTTGACGATCCTTGAGGACACAAGTAAGTTTATACATATAGTTTTGTGTATTAAATTTTACAGGGTTTGTATTTGTTTTCCAGTCAGGCCTTGAAAGTGCCGGAAGAGGTAAATTGTTTGTTTATTTATTATAATCGTTAGTGATGCCATATTTGGTCATTAGGTGGTTGTGTGACGTAATAAAGATATTTATGGTTTGTTTACAATAATATAGGCAGAAAGCTGCTGTATTGTTGTTCGTACTACGTTGTTTGTTCGTACGGTGTATCTGTTCGTATTGTTTTACACTGTTTGCAACACATCACAAGAAAATAAAACATCTTATGCTGATACAGTGATAGTACGCGTCTTTTTTGGAGTGCAACCTGGTCGTCAAGGGTATTGGTATTGGCCATCCGTACACCCTATGTGGGCAGAGTCCGCGCTCCACAATTAAGATTTAATCAAGGCTCTGCGCCAACAATCATGTTGGTTTGTGACATTTACAATACACTAGCATTCTAGCAGAGCTGAATATGGGTATATTAAATGTTCATTATTGTCAGGGTAAGGTACTGCCATCCAAAGAAGTATATAAGAGGCGAGAAGATAGGAATCTATAAGTTGACGACAAACATAGAAGGAGAGAACAAATATATTCACGGAGAGAGAAGAAGATAAAGAGGTAAAAGAAGTTATATATAACATACAAATGGAAGATCGTGGAAAACTACTAGACAAAATTGATGCCAGAGGGCGGCAAATAAGTTTATTAATACAAGAAATAATTGGTACCGAAATGAACTGGACCGACTACGACAATACATTAAAAGAAACATCAGAAGGGATTGCTGTGGCTATCATCGTCATATCTCTGATCGCGATTGTGGCCCTGTTGGGTGGATGTGCCGGATAATGATAGAAATCGAGGACGGAGTGACTGAACCATATAGAGTTAGATTAAACAATATTGTTCCTCGTTATGAAGATATTTAATGTTATAAAAATATATTTCAGGCACAATGAGTTGGTATAATTGGATGAAACAAAGGTGGGCGTATGCAGAGAGTGCGACTGGGACTAGTTGTGAATTTATGCCGGATGCAATGAATTATGATATAGAAATACAACAATTACGCATGAGAATAGATGAATTAGAGGGAGATAATGGAGATAAAGAAGCGGGTGGAGTAAAAAGAGAGAGACAGATAGAGATACTTATAAGAAGAGTTAAAAATATTACGAATGCTAGAAAGGAAGAAGTGGCAGAGTTTCAAAAATTAAGAAACACAGTGCTAAGGAATGCGACGAAAAATGGGGAGAGTAGTGGAGGGATATTAAGTGATATAGCGGGGGGAATTCGGGGAGTATTAGTAGGAGCAAAAGAAGGTACACTTGCAGGAGAGGTAGGTGGAGGAATAGCAGGGTTAAGAGGAGAATTTCCCAGCATAGGAGCAGATATTGCAACAACAGCATCTGAAATATATCAAAAGCAGCAGGGAATATAAATGCAGCAGCAGGTTCAGTGAAATAACATCAGACACAGTGAGAAGAAAGTTAACGCACGGAAACAATGACAAAATAAAAGATTATAGGAAAATGATATATAAGAAGAAAATGGAGTGGTAAAAAGGACCGGCAATGGCAGTAGTCAGTAGATAACTTAGCCGGAGGAGGGAGAGGCTGAGACATTATAGATGTTCCCCCGAGCATCGAAGAAGGAACGTCGAGTTTATATCCGTAGCAATGACCAATCAGTATTTTCTTCTTTTGATCAGTGTCTCACAACCTAATCGCCCGATT